CGTTTTGTTTGTGGGTTTCCTTTTCCTTTTCATAGCTATTGTATTCATGTTTATTAAATCTTTCTGATTTTCCTCTTTTTAAATTTTGATGTGCACGTTTATTATTTTTTTAGGTTATCTGTAATTTGTTAGTTTTTCCCTCTGCTTAAACCATATCTTGAAATCCACTTGACTTCCTTGACGTTTGGAATTCTGTAACTATACTTTTCTTTCTTTTTGTATTGTCTTCATTATAAATTGAGATCTCTGATTCCCTATTTTAAGTCTTGTAGTTTTTGTTCTGGAAACTTCTATATCTGGATACTTCTATATATATTCTATATCTGGGTGTGTCAGTCTCCAGTTGTTGTCTGCTGTTGTTGGTTCTTAGTCCAAAGGACTCTTTTTAGTATTTTTCGTAAAGTTGGCCTGGTTTTTACAAATTCCTTTAATTTCTATTTATCTGGAAATGTTCTAGTTTCACTGTGGTATTTGAGGGAGATAGTCCTGGTGTGGTGCTGTAGGATAAGCACTGGACCACAAGGTCAGTTTGAACTGCAAGGTCAGTGGTTCAATCTTACCAGAATTTCATAGGAAACTCTATATGCTGTGAATAGGAACTGACTTGATGGAACTTAACAACAACAATTTGAGTGACAGTTTTCTGGGAATATGATTCTTGGTTGACAGTGTTTTTCTTTCAGAGTTTTGTATCTTGTCATCCCATTGCCTTTTTGCCCATATGATTTCTGTTGAGAAATTGAAGCTTAATCTTATTCATTTTCCTTTGTAGGTAACATTTTGTTTTCTCTGAGCTGTTTTCAGGGTTCTTTCCTTGTCTTTGATTTTGGAGGCTTAGATTATGATAGATCTTGGTGATTTTTTGGGGGGAGGGGTCATCTATCCTGTTTGTGGAGTCCTGGTATGCGCTGTGGGTTAATGCAAAGCAGTTTGAACTGCAAGGTCAGTGGTTCAAGCTCACCAGTTTTTTCTCGGAAACCCTATATAGGGTCACTATGGGTCAGAACCAACTCAATGGCTTAACAACATCAATCCTGTTTGTAAGGAGCTCTGGTAGTGTAGTGTTTATGAATCGGGCTGCTAATCTCATGGTTATCAGTTTGAAACTACCAGCTGTTCTGCAGGAGAAAGATGAGGCTTTCTGCTCCCATAAAGATTTACAGCCTCAGAAACTCTGCACAGGGTTGCTATGAGTGGGAACTGACTGCAGGACACATAACAACAGCAACAACAACATCCTGTTTGCAGTTTGTTCCAGTTTTTGAATGCGTATCCTCTCACTTTTCATGGTGTTATGGAAATTTTCTTAAAGTAGCTCTTTGACTATCTTTTGTTTGGTTTTCTCTGTCTCTTCCTGTTTTGGAATTCTGATCACCCTAGGCTATTCCTCTTCATATTGTCCCACATATACCTTAGACTTTCTTCAGATTGTTCTTCTAGTTTACTGGTATCGAGAGATTTATCTTTAATTCACTAATTCTGACTTCCATTGATGCAAATCTATCCTTTACCCTTTTAATATAGTGTGTATTTCTGATATGTTAGTATTAATATTCTCGAATTCTGTTTGCAGGTTTTAAACTGTCTCCAATCCCTTATCTGTTTTATTTGATTATTCCTGTTGTAGTTTTCTGAATTCTTCCTTGTTTTCCTTGACCTTTCTGTCAATCATTTGGCAGTATATAAATATTATTCTCCTGAATTATTTTTCAGGTAGTTTCAATGCCTTTTTGTCTTCAAAAACCATTTTCTAGCTCTGTCTCTCAGTCATGTGTTTGAGCTAGTCTGCTTTGTTTTTCATATAAATGGAAATTGTCTGCTGTTTCTGAGGCATTTCTACTAAGCTGACAAATGTATGTTTGCATACTCTTAGGCACTCACTAACTGTCTTCTTGTCAGTGTGTTGAGTTCGTGTGCTGTTGTCTACTGTTTTTGCAGTTCAGTTCAGGGTGGATTTAGGTGATGTTGGAGGTTGTCATTGATCTGGTATATAGCAGCAGGTTTTAGCTGTATGTAGCCCAACCAGTGGGGTTGTAGAGGGTCCAACTGTGATTGGGCTATATGGCCGCAGTTGTTGTCTCCTGTTAGTGAGGCAAGAAGAGAAAACACACACTCAATAGTGAAGGAAAAGAAACCAACCAGCAGGCAACAGAAGAAAAATAAAATAGTAAGAATGAAAAACACCACAAACTGGGGAAAGGTTTCTCTCCTCAAATAAGTGGGATGGCTTTGCGCCACCTACTGGCCTCTTGCCTTCACAGCCATCCGAGAAAGTTCAAGATGGTCATGCATTGCCTGACCAACCAGCATGGATCATCAGTCTTTCTTTTTTTCCCCCCTCTACTCGATGCATCTAAGGAGCTCTGGTAGCGTAGTGGTTACGAATCGGGTTGTGAACCTTAAGGTCAGCGGTTCAAAACTACCAGCCGCTCCGCGGGAGAAAGATGAGGCTTTCTACTCCCGTAAAGATTTACACCCTCGGAAACCCTGTACAGGGTCGCTATGGGTCGGAATCGACTCGACGGCACTTAACAACAACAACAACAACTCGATGCATCTAAGGAGGTCTGGTAGCATAGTGGTTACGAATCGGGCTGTGAACCTTAAGGTTAGCAGTTCGAAACTACCAGCTGTTCTGTGGGAGAAAGATGAGGCTTTGTGCTCCCGTAAATATTTACAGCCTTGGAAACCCTTTACAGGGTCGCTATGGGTCGGAACCAACTCAATGGCACTTAACAACAACAACAACAACAACTCCATGCATCTATTCAGCTGCTTCTCCTACTTTCTAACGAGGGCGAGTCCAGGGCTGTCCAGAGCTGTCTGCAGATTTGCAGCAGGACTCCTCTGAGCAGGTTTATTGTGGATAGTTTCTCCCTCCTTCAATGGAGCTCACAACCTCAGTGCTTATCTCCATAAGACCCTGACTACCTGGAGAGTGGGTGTACACTGGTGGAGGCCAGCCTCACCTTTGGTCACCAGGGGAGTGTAGGGAACAAGAAAAGGGCACCTTTGCTTCTGTGAGCCACAGATAGGTTTTACAATGTGAATATGTTTTCTTGTCTCTGAAGCTGCTTTTAAGCCCTCAGGATGGCTGCAGGAGGTCTGGTCAGCCACCACAGCTCAGCAGTCACTTCTTCTTTTGCTTTGTCTGCTCAGCTCTCTCTTCTAGTAAGCATTCAATCCACTTCTATTTTTGTTGCTCAGAGTTCTAGGACTGGCATCTACATTTGTCTCATTTGGTTTTCCTTTCTTTGTTGTACAGCCTTTCTGCCTAGTCTGTCATCTTGCCCCACCTTACTGTTTTGTATATATTAATATTACCACTGCATAGTGATGGTACACCCAGCTGAAATAAATTCTAAGTTTGTCTTAAAAGAACGAAACAGTTTATATGACCTTGGTCAACTAACTTCTCAGGTTGCCACATGATCCAAAAGGGTTTGTGAGGATGTTTAAAATAGTGCCTCTGGAAGCGTTTCCTTTACACCATCTACCATGCTTTTATTATCTTCCAATTATTTCTAGTCTTGTGAGTTTTAGATTTGGTGCATCATGACTTCACAACTGCCTGATGACTTTCTCCATATCACCGATATCATTGCTGGTTGGTTGCAGCTTCATGCTGACTGGGTCCACTGTAGCCAAAATCACATACTGTTGGACCCCAGGGAATTACTTCTGAACACCAGGGATTCAAGCATCTAGTTTCAGGTGGGAAAAAGAGTGTGAGAAGATTATACACAACAGAGAAAATATTGAAGTTGTTAAAGACAACTCGGATATACCATCAACACTCATGGAAGCAGCAGTCAAGAAATTAAACGATGTATTACATCAGGCAAATCTGCCGCACAAGACCTCTTTAAAGTGTTGAAGACCACAGATGTCAGCTTGAAGACTAAGGTGCACCTGACTCAAGCCATGGTATTTTCAATAGCCTCCATCTGCATGTGGAAGTTGGAGAATGAATAAGGAAGACTGTGTAAAAATTGATGCATTTGAGTTAGAGTGTTGGAGAAAAATATTAAAGGTACCAGGGATTGCCAGAAGAACAAACAAATCTCCGATGTAAGAAATACAGCCAGAATGCTCCTTAGAACCTAAGATGGTTAGACTTCATCTAACATACTTCAGAGGTATTATCAGGAGAGACCAGTCCTTTGAGAAAGACATCACTCTTGGTAAAATGGAGGGTCAGCGAAAAGAGACCCCAACAAGATTAATGACATAGTGGCAGTAGCAATGGGCTCAAGTATAACAATTGTGAGTATGGTGCATGACCTGGCAGTATTTCGTTTTCATTTGCATAGGGCTGCTTTCAGTCTGAATCGACTCCATGACACCTAATAATAACTTAGGTGTTTTAGAGTCATGGTGTAGTGCTGTAAGATAAGCAGTGTACTGCTAACCTCAGAGTCGTGGGTAAAACACACCAGCTGCTCACTGCAAATCCTAGACAAGGGTCGCTATAGAAACCAATTCCTTAGCTTAGTGGTTACGAATCTGGCAGTAAACCACAAGGTCAGCAGTTCGAAACTACAAGCTGCTTCGCGGGAGAAAGATAAGGCTTTCTGCTCCCTTAAAGATTTACAGCCTCTGAAATCCTGTTCGGAACCGCTAAGGGTCGGAACCGACTCAACAGCCCTTAGCAAGAACAATAATCAAGAGGTGATTTGCGCAAGCACGCGCAGTACCGCCCTCAGGATGCGCTCATGAGAGGGGGCGGGCCCGACGTGCGTACGTCCGGGCGTGCGTACGTTCGCTGAGCGTGCGCCGCGGCCACCGTCTGTTTGCGGTTGCGGAGTTGAGCTGAGAGGGCCTTAGACGCAACCTGGTCGGGAGAAGGCGGGGCTTCTGGCTGGGCCTGGGCTGGCGCGCTCACCTGCTACGGAGGGTAACTTTCCTGTACTAGCTCTCTAGGCCTAGGTAGACCTTGCAAGTGTAGCCAAGATCTTTCTCGAGTTTTCGTTTGTCAGAAGCAACTTCCCTTTGGTTTCATGCCGAACTCGCGGCCCAGGCCCCGCAGAGGGACCGGGAGTGGTGCCCGGGCGGCAGGCCGGGACGTGTTGGTGTCGCGGTCCTTGCAGAGCGCGGAGCACTGCATGGGCGCCCAGGACTTCGGCACTGCCTATGCTCACTACCTCCTCGTGCTCAGCCTGGCTCCGGAGCTCAAAGACGACGTGAAGGTGAGGGTCGTTCCTTGTCTCACATTGCAGATCCTCCGACGTTATAGTGAAAAACAAAAATAAAAAGGGGGTTGAGGAGGGCTGGGAGGTAACATGCGTGACTCGTGTTTGGTTTTTTCTTTTGCGGTTCTCTCTTGACGTTTATCCAATGTCAGTTCTACAGGAAATTCTATTGGCCTTCCCTCGAAATATACGAGTATCTAGACTTACCCCCTTCTGTTCACTTCCTCCTCTGCAACCTTGGTCGTAAAACCTCCGTCTTCTCTGTCCGACTATGCAGTAAGTAGGCTCCCAACTGGGCTTTGCTGTAGTCTTTCTCAGTGCAGCCAGGGCGAGCCTTATAGAATAAAAGTCGGATGTTATCACTTCATTTCAAAGCTTCCATCTCACTCAAAAATCCCAAGTTCTGTTTATGGCAAAGGAGGCCTCTGGTGACACTCCCTTTCCTTCTGTATTCATTGTAAACATGCTGCTGCATCAGGGCCTTTGCACTCATCCTTGCTGTATGTAGAAGAAATGTGAGTTTCTGTAGTAATGTTTGCAATCTAGTCTAAAGCATCATTCCATGATGCAGTCTTTGAGCTTTAATTATTGAGTTACTTGCGACTGTTATTCACTTGAAACGCTACACATTTTTACCCCCAAATAATATTAGAATCTAAATTTCAAAATAATGATTTAGCTTATTTTTGTGTTCAATTTTTGACCTCAAGTTATTTTGTTTAATATGGTATTTCTTAACCTCAGCAGTCACACCTTAGTTATTTTTAACTTAGATTTTTAGATTTCAAAAGCTGAGCCGCATAGTTGATTCTTATAGTTCTATTTTGGTTTACATTTAGTGTAAATTTTAGGACCAGCTGGCCCACTCAAGGAGGATAGGTCATATTTTGGAATATAGCTTGGCGGCAGCAGAAGTCCTATATCCTTAATTATTGGTTCTTTAGTCTCCTGTTTTATAAAACAAGACTAATACTTCTCATAGGTTTTTAGTGTAGATGGAAAGTGTATATCTAAAATTTGTACAGCAATACCTGACATTTAGCAATTTCAGTTAACTGCAAAACAAAGTTAATTTTCTTATGCATGGGCCCTTTGGAAAAGATCTTTGTGTTTCATCTGATTTTCTGCTGCTCTCAGACCCCCTGTAACCAAACCCCAGGCACACCACCGAACTTCTCACCTGTAATGGACCGTGGTCCATCTCACACAGTCCATACTTTTTGTCCTCCTACTCCAGATTCTTCTTATTCTTGTCTCAGGGGTGAACTTCATGAAAACTCAGTTTAAGGTAAAAAATAGGTAAAGGTGATTTAAAATATGCTTGTGATAAAGCTGTGTGTCTCATGTCTGCCCTGTTTCCTGTGTGTTGCTGCGTGCTTAATTGTAGAGAGGTGAGATTGGAGGTAGGCTGACAGTGACAGTCCAACAAGAAGTAGTGATTGTTGTTAGGTGCTGTTGAGTTGACTGTGACTCATAGTATTTCCGAGCTCAGCTGGTGAGTTTGAACTGCTGACTTTGTGGTTGGAGTATAATACTTACCTATGTTGTGCTGTAACACTGAGGTTGGAGAGAATGTGGAAGATTTAAGGAGTTTATTGCTCAGTTTTAGCCCCTAGCTCTTTTCACACTGATTGCTGAGGAGATGTTTGAATTGAGCAGTTTTGAGATGGAGTCCTGGTATGGTGCTGTGGAATAAGCACTAGACTGCTAACCACAAGGTTGGAACCAATTTGATGGCACTTAACAATACCAATTTTGAGGTGGTTTGGAGGACAGTCCCTGGTTAGAATGACCTATGTTGTTGTTGTTAGTGCTGTCCAGTCAATTCTGACTCATTGTTGTTGTTACGTACCGTGGAGTCGGTTCCGACTCATAGTGACCCTGCACAGGGTTTCCGAGGCTGTAAATCTTTACAGGAGCAGAAAGTCTCATCTTTCTTCCGTGGAACAGCTGGTAGTTTCGAACTGCCGACCTTGAGGTTAGCAGCCCAATTCGTAACCACTATGCTACCAGAGCTCCTATTCTGACCCATAGCAACCCTATATAGGGTTTCCAAGGAGCAGCTGGTGAACTTGAACCACCGACCTTGCAGTTCAAACGACTCTGCAGTCTGACGCATTAGCCCACTGTGCCACTCCAGGACTCCTGAATGGCTAATTGTTGTGGTTACTAGGTGCCATCGAGTTGATACCGACTCATAGCGACCTTATGCACAGCAGAAGGAGGCTGCATATCTGAGTCTGGGAATTCAGAACAGAGGGTCTTGATTGGAGATATAGATGTAGCACCCATCAACATATGTATGATAGTCGATGTATTAGGGATGGATAGCAAAAGAGGGCCAAGGACAAACTTTAAAACGTGTGGTTAAGTGTTGTTGAGTTGGTTGACTTATAGATACCCTATATAAGGTTTCCAAGTTGCAGCTGTTGAGTTTGAATCACTGATCTTATGGTTAGCAGTGCTTATCATGCAGTGCCATACCTGCAGGTTAAGGACTTCTCTTAAAACATTGTTGCTGTTAAGTGCCTTTGAGTCGTTTCTGACTCATAGTGACCCATTGTGGATTTACGAGAAGCGCCTGGTGGGTTTGAACCGCCGACCTTGCAGTTTCAGCTGACTTTGTAGTCCAGTGCTTAACCTACAGTGCCACACCAGAACTCCTCTTAAAACATAGAAACCCACATAAAAGGGGTAGGTAGAAAACCACAGGACAGGTAAGAATGGAGTTTAGTAAAGAGAGTGGGCAAACTGCCTAATTCTGCATATTGCCAAATAGGTGGTAAATTTCTTTCATTCACATATTTGTTTTTTCATCCAATAAGATTAAAGCCAACTAAAATCTGTTATTCAATGATAGATAAGTTCTAGTCTCTAGAATCTTGACCAGCATTGTACGTATTATTGTGTCATCCTTTGTGTTACTGACTAATTCACTGTGTTTTTTTTTTTTTTTTCCCTCCTCTTTTGTAAAGGAAACTTTTCAGTATACACTCTTTAAATGGGCTGAAGAGCTTTATGCTCTCAGTCGAATACAAGATTTACTTGGTTGCTATGAGCAGGCCTTGGAACTGTTTCCTGATGATGAAGTGATTTGCAATAGTATGGGAGAACATCTCTTCAGGTTTGAATGTTTCAGTGTTACTTTTTAAGAATTATCAGGGACAAGTCATATAGTAATTTAAATGGGGAAATCTTTACAATGAAAACTACAAACTATAGCAAACGATTGAAGAAATGATTGGCTAGTAAGAAGTAAAAAGAAGTTAAAAAAAGAGAAAACTAGGGATTTCAGATGTAATATGTATTGTCACAGAAGTTTTAATATTGTATTATATACTACTAGTGACTACTGTCCATTGGGCTGAGATAGAGTATCCAGTAACAAGTCCCCGTCATGGGGCTGAGCCATGATTCACAGGTTGGCAGAGAAATTTACCATTGGAAATGCCAGGAGAACTCTGCATGAGGAGATGTTTCACCAAAGGCAGTTCGTTCCCAAAGTAGGGTTGTGTTGAGGGAAACTGCTGACCACTGGGTGCTGGAGAAGTCCTGAGCACACTGGGACCAGGAAGCAATAATCTTTCCTCCCATAGTGTCTCTCCAGCACTACTGACAATGAATAATATTGTGCCACCTGGCAAAGGAAAAATATTAGTGCAAAGGGTGCATTTGGTAATAGTGTAGTCAGTTGTTATGTCAGATGTCCTTAAGACCACCCAAGTTTTGATAATTTGCTCATTGTTGTTGCTGTTAAGTGCTGTCGAGTTGTTTCTGACTTATGGTGACCCTGCATAGGGTTTCCAAATGAACCACCAACCTTGAGGTCGAGTGCTTATCCTATGGTGCCACACCAGGACTCCAATTTGCTCATATGACTCATCCTATAATTGTATTTGTGGCTATCATTTATTACAAAAGAACACAGACCAAAATCAGCAAAGGGAAAAGGCTCACAGGACAAAGCCTAGAGGAAACCAGGTGAACATTTCCAAAGATCCTCTGCTAGTGAAGCCATATACCCAAATACCGAAACAAAACCCATGCTGTCAAGTTGATAGTGACCCTATAGGACCGAGTAGAACTGTCCCATAGGGTTTCCAATGCTGTAAATCTTTATGGAAGCAGATTGGCACATCTTTTCTGCTGTAGAGCAACTGGTGGGTTCAGGACTGTCAACCTTTTTTGATAAAGCTGAACACTTTAACCGCTGTGCCACAGGGTTCCTCTGAGGCACACAAAAACATGCCTTATCCCCTCATCAGTGAGTTGTGGCCACATGTGTGAAATATCCCCACCAGGGAAGCTCATTAGAAACTTAGTACCCTGATTGTTTTTATTGGGGGTGGTCATAAAAGTACCCTCTGCTTAACATGTGCCAAAAGTTCAGGCTCCCAGAAGGAAAACAGGTGTCCAGCATAAACCACAGTGTTTGTACAGTCAAGGCACAGTGACCCATTCTAGTCAGCTAGGGCATTGGGAATGCTTCCAAAATCCAAGGTCCAACTTTGTAAGCAGGCCTTTCAAAGTAAAGGATTGTTAACTCTGCACACTAGCACACGTGCTTAAATTTTTTTGAGAAATAGGAAGGAATCATAAAAGCAATATATGTTGATCACAGACATTTTCATTTTAATTAAAAATATTAGTGCCTCACTTGACATATAGCCCTTGCCTTTTATTACAGTGTTGTCCCCTCTTTGAAGTTTCAGAATATTTTGTTTCCTTAATCCACATCCATAAAGAATAGTCTAATTTCGTTTCTTTTAAAGTGGATCAAATGATTTAGAGGACTTATGAAGCAGTATGAGTACAGAAGGGTTCTGCTAGCTTAGTTGTGTTTAATGTGTGGTCCACACACAGTTGCTAGTCCACAAATAACCAGTTAATGGCAGATAAGTGTGTATCAGTTTTACATTTTTACAAATCTAAACTTGCTATTTGGATTCTCTAGTTGGAGAGAGTATGGGCCTCTTGGGGTATTGAAGAACTCTTATGTGGTATAAGCTGGATATGAATCATGTGTAATAGGTCTATATGTGACTACTACGGATTAGACATTAGTTTCTGTGATATATAATTAAAATACAAATGTGTAATTATAGTAGTGAATACACCTGCCATAAACTGCTCTGGCAGCAAATACAGCTAACTTTTGGTGACCATTTAACTCAGCTGGTTAGAGAAAAAGTATATGGGCATGCCAGAGAAGCTGCTAGCCACAGACGTTGTTAAAAGTCATGCAGCCAGTTCTGACTCATAGTGACCCTGTACAGGATTTCCAAGGTGCAGCTGGTGGGTTTGAACCACTGACCTTGCAGTTGGCAGTTAAGTGCTTAATCCTATAGCACCACATAAGGACTCCAGCCACAAACATTGTTGTTAAGTGCGTTGAGTCGGTTCTGACCCATAGCAATCCTGTAGAGGGTTTCCAAGGAGCATGAACTGCCGACCTTGCAGTTCAAACCGACTTTGCAGTCCAGCGCATTAACCCACAGCACCACACCAGGACTCCTGTTTTATAGAAGGAATAGTTTTCAGAGAGAACTGATATTCTAGAGAGTTGATTAAAAACTCTTAGGAAAGCTCCTAACACACTTGAATAGAATTATAATGTATTATCAAGTACTTATTAATGTTCTGAAATATGTTCAATGTAGTAGGAGTTTAGAAAAGAAAAAAGTCATTAATGATTGTAGTACTCATAGAAGACTTTCCAAAGGAGTTGGTCTTGGGTTGTGTAGGATTTGGGGTGCTGGTGTTTGGTTACCAGGCCAGATGAGTGGCGTGTACTGCAGTCGGTAGCAAAGAGATGAATATTTTTGTCCTTGTCATTTTTTTACTCTAGAATGGGCTTTAGAGATGAAGCAGCCGGGTATTTTCATAAAGCAGTGAAGCTCAACCCTGATTTCAACGATGCAAAGGAGAATTTTTATCGGGTTGCAAACTGGTTGGTGGAACGTTGGCACTTTATCATGCTTAATGATGTCAAGAGGAATATGATTTATAATGCAGCAATCCAAAAAGCAGTTCGTTCAGGATACAAAAGTGTTTTGGACATTGGAACAGGAACTGGAATACTAAGGTTTGTTGTGATTGTGGTTTAATTATATGTACATATAATTGTATACTCATGACATAAAGACTTAGCAAACAGAAAAATTAACAATGGAATCTAAAATGAAAGAATTAAGTTTTATTTGCTACTTCTCAATCTTTTGTTAGGGCTATTCATGCAACTATTATTGTGTATTTTTCACTGTAACTTTATCAAGAGCTGGGCAAAAATGCTAATAAAACTTTGAACCAATGGTTCAAAGTGGTTTTTGAATAATGATGTTAAGTAGTTTTTGTACTATTCATCTGGTGGAATCTAGTTTTTTTTTGTTTTGATGGAGCATTTTTTTCCCCTTGTAGCATATTTGCTAAAAAAGCTGGAGCACACTCAGTGTATGCCTGTGAATTATCTAAGACCATGTATGAACTTGCCTGCGATGTAGTAGCAGCAAACAAGATGGAAGCAGGAATCAAACTCTTACATATGAAATCGTTTGACATAGGAATTCCAAAGCACATTCCTGAAAGGTATTGTAATATAAATTAATTTTAGTGTTTATAATTCACTATTTTATTTTTTTAAAAACCAGACTATTCACATTCCTAGTTTTTAGCCCAAAATAAACCCTTACTTTAGAATACAACAGATTTTCATAGTCAAGTTGCATTCTTTATTGAAAATATTTAAATTTCTTGAGAATTTGTTGTAAGGGATTTACTAAAAAAAAAAAGAAAAAGAAAGATCTTAAGTAAGTTAATTTATCTTTGGTAACCTCAACATTCTAGTATATGAAAATGGATAATGGCTCTGTTGACCTTCACTCAAATCACAGTTTTAAAAAAATACAACAACATATATTGGCTCCTATGTGGTCAGTAACTATTTAAAATAGTGACTAAGTAGATCAGATCCTGGAGTCCTGGTGTGGCCCTGTAGGATAAGCACTGGTCTGCTAGCCACAAGGTCAGCAGTTTAAGCCTACTAGTCACTTTTTGGAAACCCTGTGCAGAGTTGAAACTGGCATTTAACAGCAACAGATCAGACTTGTTTCGATAGGCTTATTTAATTTTGTGTAAATATTTTTGGTTAAAGTGCAAGCTCTGGAAAATTTCAGCTCTTTTGGCTTGGGCCATTCAATGATTAAAATATAATTCCTTAAGTCTTGAATTTTAAGTGTGTTACCTCACTCTGATCCATGTCACAAGAATGATGGAGTTGTAAAGTTAAAAGGGATTTTTTAATCACATGATCATTTTTGAGACCGATTTCTCTATGTAGTGCTAGCTACTACCTCTCCTCGGTCATTTTATTTGATGTTTTTTTTGGATGCTGTTTACATCTGGACTGATTTTCTAAAATATCTCCTTCCAATTATATAATAGTTGATGTTTACACAGTGCTTGATGCTTTTCAGTGCTCTTTATTTTACATTTGTTCTCATGAAGGAAGCCAGATAATTGTTCTGCCCATTTTATAGAAATAAACGCCTGAATCAAAATGACCTCATTTCAGTCTACATGTTGTTATTATGCAGAGCTTTATTCTGCAGATAGTGCTTGTAAAGGTATATTGGCTTTGATGCATCAGTAGTTAGGGATACCAATTCTTACTAATTTATTAGTTTATTTTGACCTTGAGGAAATCTCTGCCCTTCAAGATGTTGAACTAGATGAATTGACATACCTGGCACATTCTAAATGTGTGTAATCCTGAATGCAGAATTTTTTTTTTTTAATATATAAATACTGGGTTTAAGAGTCCTGGTGTGGCGCTGTAGGCAAATGCGTCAGACTACAAAGTCGTTTGAACTGCAAAATCGGTAGTTCAAGCTCCCCAACTGCTCCTTGGAAACCTGATACAGGGTTGCTATGGGTCGGAACCGACTCAACAGCACTTAACAACAACAATACTGGATTTAGGGATGTGTGGGATTTCTTGCCCTTAGAGCACCTACAGTCTAGATAGGAAGATAAGAAATATTCAGGAAATTTGTCTATCTTTTAACTGCACAAATAAATGATACTGGAAATAGGTGCTAAAGGTGTTCAGAGGGGCGAAATCAGAGGAAAGAATGGAAGGAAGAACAGAGCTCGTGAACTATACTTTCATGAAGGCTCAAAGCTAGTGAATAAAGCAAGAGAAGTGACAGAAGAAGACAGTGTGAAAGAGATAAGCATTGCTAACGTAGTTACCATAGAAGGTGGAGAATAAATTTTGGATTAAGTATTATTTGTAGGTCTAGGAAAATGAGAACTGAAAATGATGAATCATTTCGATAAAAGTGTCATTGTCAAAAACTGTTTTAGTGTTAAAGATAGAATTCCAGCATTAAGGAGGGGTACTGGTAAAGGTAATTGGTATGAACCACTTTTAAGGACTTACGCAATGAAGGAATAGTCTGAGGAGGCAGTATAGGACCAAGTGAAGGTCACAGGAGCAAGTGGAGAACAGAGGAGGCTGAGGGACATGAGAAGCAAGATTCAGAATGGGTATTATAAATGAATTGTATTTGAAAATTTAACATTGACTTTCTATAATCTATTCTTCCTTTCTCTCCTCTCTCAGCTTTGACATCTTTATATAATAGCATGATATTTTACTTACATATATCTTTAAAAAATCATTCTATAGAGTGTCCCTAGTTGTAACAGAAACTGTCGATGCAGGTTTATTTGGAGAAGGAATTGTGGAGAGTTTGATTCATGCATGGGAATATTTACTTTTGCCACCAAAGGTAAGCATGAAAACACTTTCAGAATCCGTTGTTTGAACAGATAATTATTGAAACCCAAGTGTATTTACAAAGCAATAGGAAATCTATTCCCTACCATCAAGGAATATACTGTTTGTTTGGAAGGAAAATAATTTAAGTGCATGCATATTTACATATTCAAATGAAGTACATGGGCCAAAACTACTCCATTAAGGAATTCATAGGACTTGAGGTTAACTTATGGAGGGTTTGATTGTGACATTCTTGATTAGAATTGAGAAAAAGAGTTTCTTTCATCTTTAATTAGTCCTTACTGCTTATGTTCTTTTCAAATTATCAAAAGGGTTTGTGTGGCTTCTGATTGGACACAGTTGATAAATTAAAGGTTGGAGATTTGAATCCACAGAGGTTTCTCAAAAAAAAAGCCTGGTGGTCTATTTCTGAAAAATTGGCCACTGAAAACCCGATGGCACACAGTTCTACTCTGATGTATATGGGGTTGCCATGAGTTAGCCTCTCATCACTGACAACTTGTGATGTGGTGAAATGATTTTGGCCTCTCTGTTACAGTCAGACCCTTTGTTCTATGCAGCATTATGTGTTTTTTTTTTTTTCCTTTCTATGTTTATACTTGTAAAATAAGTAAATAATACATAACAATGAAATAAGAAAAAAAACTTTAAAAAGGAAAATAGCCCTGCTTATACAGGGTCGCTATGGGTCGGAACCGACTCAACGGCACTTAACAACAACAACAACAAATCTTCACTTACTATTTTAAACTTTTTTCTTTTTAACTTTTGTAGCTGTGCATCATATACATTTTGCATGAAAATAATTGTGTAATGTTTATTTTTATATATTTAGATAAAAGGTGAAGATGCCAACTGTGAAAAGTATGGGAAAGTTATACCAGCAAGTGCTGTTATATTTGGAATGGCAGTACAGTGTGAAGAGATCAGAAGACATCATAGGTAAGGAACTACATAAGTAATATATTTGAAAAACATTTCTTTAAAGTATACTGTATTTCAGTTTATTTGAATAGTTACTTGCATAAGGATTTGCAGTTTTCTGACCTTTAAATTCATGTTTAGTCTAAATTTTTTTTCCGTATGTACTTTTAAAATGAAACTTTGAGATTAAACCCATATTCTCTTATTTTAATACAAAATTAATTTTGATACAACCTAAGCATTGGATTGCAAAGTTTGTTTGGACCACGAGATCGGTGGTTCAAACTCACCAGCCGTTCCTTGGAAACCCTATATTGGCTTGCTATGAGTCAGAAATGGCTCTACAGCATTTAACAAAAACAACAGCAGAATCCTTCTGATGATGAGAAATTCATGTAGAAAAATATTAAGAGTAATTATTTTACTTTTAAGGCAAATGATAGCAAAAATTCCAATATGAAAATAAGTTTTTATTTTAATTTCATTTCTCATAACTTTATTAGTGTTATAATAATATATAGTTGGGTTGGATGAACTTTTAGGATCTTTATCCTTGAGATTCTAAGATTTACTCATCAAATATGTTACATAAAGTAAAACCTGCAAAAGCCAGACACTCTCAGAGAAGGAAAACTCAAATATTTTCCACAAAATGAGAGATACTTAAGAGTTAAGACTGCATCCTGTTATAGGGAGAACACTTGTGAGACTTGGAAAACAAGGCAGTTCTGTTGAGTTCCGGTTTTCACTGTATAAATGAAAATGTGATACTGAATTTTTGAGTTACAGATGTCTGTTTCCTGGTTAGATTTTTTTTTTTTAATTTAAGGTTCTTATTGTGGATTGAGTAAAAGTTTACAGGGCAGATCATCAGTTTCACATTAAACAAATCACACACCTTGTTTCATTACAATGATTAGAATCCCCTCCATGTACCATCAGTTAACAGTGTTTCTCTCTATTTACTTTAGCTCTTTCTTTTTTTAAATACTCAGGCATATATAATAATTTACAACCAAAGGGCACATTCTGCAAGTCTGCCTCCTGGCCACCAGCTCTCAGTCCCTCTCTTCCCATGAATCTAGAGTCCTCAGCTGTGCCTTCTCTCCACGTCCTCATCTCTGCTTCCATCTCTGGTGTCGCTGCTTACCTGAATAAGGTCTCACATTCCAGCTGTGCTCTTCTCCCTTGATGATCCTAGGGTCCTTTGTTTCTGGACTGTAAGATTAACCACTCCCCTGTTTTTGATACAAAACTCTTCTACCTTTACAGTTGTGACAGTTGCAATTGGTCATGATAACAATTACTCACTATTGAATTATCTCTCTTAACCAGACCCATCTACACAAGATGAAAATTGTTCAGCAGGGACTCTTTCTTTCCCCACACACTATTATTAAACTAAGCTTCCCTTTGAAACTTGTAAGCCAGTCACTTCGTGCCTTCATAGCTCCCTCTTTTAGATAGCCAGTGTCTAAGTTACCCATTCCTATCTACCCTGTGTACAGAGGGGATAGCATTGATAACTTGTGAAGACTCCTTCCCTCTCTGTTGGCATTTAGAGTTACTACCTCCATGAGTGTAGGTCAGGTTCATCAAATTGTAGCAATTTACCCTTGTTTCCTTTATCAAAAATAGTTTGTTTTTTTTTTAATCTTCCTCTAGTCCTGATTATCAAGCCATCGAGGCTAGCTCAAATGGGTACTGTCTGCAAGTTTGGGTGTTCTTGTACATTTCCCCTCACTTCATATCAGCCGGATGCTTCATTCTCAGCTGTAGCCCTCTGTGGCTATGTCCTTATCCATGGACTCAGGTATCCCCAAGTCTCACCATACTTTGGACCAACCAGCCCTTTCACTTCCCTCTCTCATCTCCAGGTCAACAGGAGTCAATGGACTGTGGTTGAACTCAGCCCATTTCTTCATTGTGGTCACCAGCAAGCTTATATGCCTGCTTATGTATTCCTTTTGAGTTTCAGTCTTGAAGGTGGGGTTTGTCCAGAAGGAAATTGATTTCTTGTCTTGATGGCTTCCCAGTGAACAGCTTGCTTATTCTTGTAGTAGCCAGTCATACTGCCATTTTTGTTTTGGGTTATTCCTGATGATCTTTCTTAAAAGATGTATCTTCTGTTGCTCTAGCTGTTGCAGGATTGTCTGCTTGTCCTTTCTAGTGGGCAAGTCCTACCTCAGAAGGTTCTGGATTGGACTCAGGTTTCTATCTAAGGTCCTATACTCTGCAAAAGCTCTGTAAGAGGTCTGTTTCACTGGGCAAGTTCTAGAACCCCTTTTAGGTATTCCAATCAGTTATAGGCTGAAGACGGGCTTACAGGTTTTCTGTAATCATGTTTCCCGACATTCCTTTATATCTCACTCCAGTGTCTATTTTAGTAGCCAAGGGAAACCAATTTTCATAAGACAGTCAAGTATTTTAGTATTATTTCCTCTCTTCAAACTATGCCTAGATCCCTGTGTCACAGAGCTCTTTTGTTCCAAGGTAGAGCATGCGTCACTCTTTGCCTCAGTCCCACTTAGCCCTGGCAAACCTGTCTCAGTGTTCCCTTATCTACTTTGTTCTTACACCTCCCGCCACTTCTTGTATTGCCCTCTCCAACACCCAGACTATGATGTGTCTGCCCTCACCCTGTGGTCTATCATTGCCTCCCTCCACCTCTCCCTAAACCCTCCACCCCAACCGCACCATTGTGGTTACCTTATGTTCCATTAACTTGTCCCTCCATTAAGACAGTCTATTTTATCCTGTAATCTACCTGAACTTCTCACCACCTGGATCTCTGTCCTCTGTGTTTAACTTCTTTCACATTGTAATTGTTTTGACCATTGACTGACCTCTGAGATCTTCTGAATTTGTTCTTATAGTTTTATTCTGTTCTCGACTCTTCCATTTGTTGATTAAGTTCCTTCCGGGTGATGCTTCCACACGTCATTCTCTGGTTGTTGTCTGTTCTTGTTGGTTCTCAGTCCACAGAACTTCCTTTAGGATGTTTTTCATTGCAGGGTTGGCTTTGGCAAAATCTCTTAGCTTCTGTTTATCCTGGAATGTTTTGATTACACCATCATATGTGATTGACAGCGTTTCTGGATAGAGGATTCTTGGTCAGCAGTTTTTTTCTTTCAGGGTTTTATATATGTCTCTGGTTGTCTTCTTACCTGAATGGTTTCTGTTGAGAGATCTGAGCTTAATCTGATATGCTTTCTTTTGTATGAAACACTTCTCTTCCCTAGCTGCTTTCAGGACTTTGTCCTTATCTTTGATTTTGGAGAGTTTGATTATTATATGTCTTGGTGATTGTCTTTTAGGGTCTATCCTTCCTGGGGTTCATTGAGCTTCTTGAATGCTTATCTTTTTACTTTTAAGGATGATAGAGACATTTTTTCCTAGCAGCTCTTCAACTATCTCCTCTGTGGAATTGTGTGATTCTTCCTGTTCCGGAATGCTGATAATTCTTAAATTATTCCTCTTCATGTTGTCCAACATGTATCTTTACACCTTCTTTAGACTTTTTTATCCTTTTTTCTGCTTGATCTTCTATCTTATTAGTGTTGAGAGATTTGCCTTCTAGCTCACTAGTTCTTGCTTTCATCTCTTCTGTTCTGCTCCTTTGCCCTTTCAGTGTATTGTCCATTTCTGATATTCTGTTATTAATAATTTGGACCTCTTTGTGTAGGTTTTGAATTATTTCCAATGCTGTATCTAGCTTACTTGATTGTTCCTGTGGCACTTTCCTGACTTCTTCCTTATTTTTCTCAACTCCATTGTAAATTTTATAATCACACGCCGTTTGATAACATTTTATAATCATTTTTCTGAATTCCTTTTCAGGCACTGCTCTCCTTCCAGTACAGAGTGTAGGTCTATCTTCAGCTCATTTGTCTTAGTCACTTTATGTCGTTTCTGGACATATGTTGATATGGTCATCTGTTTCTGTTTTTTGGGCTAGTTTAGGAGTTATCTGTGGCCTTAATACTTGGATGGGTGTGTATTTTGGTATTTTTCATGCTTTCTGATTGCCGTGAGGTAGATGTGATCAGGAGATGGGCTTCCCTTTTCACTCTTCTTCCTGAGAAATTTCAAGATGGCACTGTTGGTTGTTGTGACATAACCTGGCGGGGGTGGAGGGTGGAGCAGATTTATAGGATGCACCCTTTCTTTGATTAGTGATGCCTTGAGGGGATTGTAACCATGGCAGTGAAACAATATACAATAAGATGCATGTAAAACTAATGTTCTCCCATGTAAACTGTCACATAATTCAAAATAAAACTTTACTCATGGGATGGATATTAAAGAGATTGTCCAGTGATTTCCATTGGGTCACCTCTGTTTGGAATGAGCACAAATACGAATCTCTTTCAGTCAGTCGGCCAGATAGTTGTTTTCCAAATTTCTTGGCAGAGATGAGTGAATGCCTCCTGTTCCACCCCAATTTCTTGAAAGGTTTCAATTTTTATTTCATCAATTCCTGGTGCCTTATTCTTTGCCAATTCCTTCAATGCACCTTGGACTTTGTCCTTCAGTATCATATGCTACATCTTGACACAGTTGAACACATTAACCATTTCCTTTTGGTACAGTGACTTTGTGTATTCCTTCCATCTCCTCTTGATGCTTCCTGCATCATTCAATAATTTGCCCAGAGCATCTTTCATTAATTAAAGTCGAGGCTTGAATTTTTTCTTCAGTTCCCCCAGCTTGAGAAATGCTGAGCGTGTTCTTCCTTTTTGGTTTTCTGATTCCAGATTTTTGCACATTTTGTTGTAATATTTGGCTTTATCTTCTCGAGCTGATCTTTGAAATTTTCTGTTCAGCTCTTGGACCTCCTCATTTCTTCCATTTGCTTTAACATCTCTACACTGGAGACCAAGTTTCAGAGTCTCTTCTGATCTCCATTTTGACCTTTTCCTTCTTTCTTGTCTTCTTAATGACTTTTTGCTTTCTTCATGTATGATGTTCTTGATGTCATTCCACAAGTCACCCAATTTGTAATCCACTAAGGAGTCCTGATGTGGCACTGTGGGTTAATGTGCCAGACTGCAAAGCCATTTGAACTGTAAGGTCGGTAGTTCAAGCTCACCAGCTGCTCCTTGGAAACCCTATACAGGGTTGCTATGGATGGGAACCGACTCGATGGCACTTAACAACAGCAAAGGTATCATGACTCATTTTTGTGTGTGGAGTTGGTTCTGACTCCTAGTGACCCTGTGTAGTTTTCCTAAGAGCAGCTGCAAGGATTTGTTGTTGTTAATTCCCTTCGAAGATAGTTGATTTGTATGTTTTAAATATGAGATAGTCATTGTATATTTTGTATATGAGCCCTTTGTGGTGTGTATGCACAACAGATATCTTTCCCTACTTAATGATTTGTTTTTTTTTAACTGTCTTACTAGGTGTCTTTTGAGGAAAATTTTTTAATTTTAATGTAGTTTTATCATTTGTTTTTCTTTATGATTTAACAGTTTTATATGTGTGGATATAATTGTGTTTAAGACATTTTTGCCCATGAAGATTTATTTCATATTTATGTTTATTTTTTTCTGGAATTTCTTTTGAGTGATATTATTTGATTCTAACAAAATCCTACTGTTTTTTCCTGCCCCACCCTTTTATTTTTCTTCCTATCAGGGTGGGTATTAAGAACATTGCTGGTATCCATTTGCCAACAAATGTGAAATTTCAGAGTCCAACTTACTCTTCTGTAGATTCTGAAGAAACTGTTGAACCTTATACAACTGAAAAGATGAGTCGAGTTCCTGGGGGATATTTGGCTTTGACAGAATGTTTTGAAATTATGACAGTAGATTTCAACAATCATCAGGTAAAAAAGGAAAAAAACAGTTAATTACTGTGTTTTGAGCATTGAATTCCAGGCATTTTTTAAGACAATAGATGTGATCATTTTATTTGAAGAATTTATCTATGATTCCACTTACTGTATGTAAAGAAAATGAAAGGGAAATGAAGAAACTCATTTCCCTCCTGAAAAGATTAGAAATTCACTTGTACTTCAATCCTGAATAAGAAAAGACAGATTTGTAAGGAATGTGTAACCTTCTGGGTACTGCTTTCACATGCTTTCTTAGGTAAGGTATCTCTTAAGGCAGGACTCTGATAGAATTGGGATTGTCCTTGTGCTGTACAGATGAGGACATTTACTCACCCTGTGTAGTTTTCTCTAGACTATTCTCTAAAATAGTCTCATTCCTTTTATACTTTTATCAGGAATTAAAAAGTCTTGCAACTTCAACGCCTGTTAAGATCAGTATTCCTGCTACTCGAGAAGGCATACTAGATGCTATTGTGGTGTGGTTTGTGCTGCAACTTGATGATGAACATAGCTTATCCACAAGTCCGACTGAGGAGACATGTTGGGAACAGGCTGTCTACCCTGTACAGGACCTGACAGGTATAACGATTCTAATTCCTGGTTTGTGTTTTTTTTAAATGTGTTGCTTTAATCCTCATGACTCCAGATCTTTGCACATTTTGTTGTAATATTTGGCTTTTTCTTCTCAAGCTGATCTTTGAAATTTTCTGTTCAGCTCTTATACCTCCTTATTTGTTCCATTTGCTTTAGGATCTCTACACTGGAGAACAAGTTTCAGTGTCTCTTCTGACATCCATTTTGACCTTTTCCTTCTTTCTTGTCTTTTTTTTTTTTAATGTTTTATTGTGAATTATATGATAGTTTACACGAGGGAACTTTAGTTTTACATTCATTCCATCGTATATCATTTCATTGCCATGGTTGCAATCCCCTCCATGCATCATCTTCCGACCAAAGGGCATATCCTAGAAACCCGTCCTCTACACTTCCCCCTCCCCACCCCACCCCACCCCAGTCCCTCTCTGGATCCAAAGTCCCCGGCCGCTTCATCCCTCCATGTCATCGTCTCTGTCTCCATCTCAGGCGTCCCTGCTTCTCTGGGTAGGGTCCCACTCTCGGCTCTTCTCTGTTGGTGGTCCCAGAGACCTCTGCTCCTAGACTGGAGAAATAATCACTCCCTTCCTTGCTACAAAACGTCTACCTTTGCATTTCCAACCCTCATAATCCGTCTTGATAACCATTATTATTTCCAACCCTCACAATCTGTCTTGGTAACCATTATTCACTACAGTATCGTGAGTAACCTATCTGTGTTTTATTTCATCAGCTCCACCTAGACAGATTGGATAGTACTCACTGGTGATTCTAACTTCCTCCATGCCCCCTAACTTTAGGTTCCCTCTTGAAAGCTTGTAAGCCAGTCACTTCTTGCCTTTGTAGTCCCTTCCTCCCCATTTGGGTATCCAATGTCCAAGTTGCCCATCTCTGTCTACTCTGTGTATGGAGGGGGTGGGAATGTTTCTTGCTGTAAGGATTTGTTGCCTCTTTTGAGTCACTGCATTCGTAGGTATAGGTCAAGTTCATCAGACTGAATCAGCTCTTGTCTTCTTAATGACTTTTTGCTTTCTACCTGTATGATGTTCTTAATGTCATCCCACAACTCTTCTGGTCTTTGGTCTTTAGTGTTTAATGTATCAAATCTGTTCTTCAGATGATCTCTAAATTCAGGTGGGATATACTCAAGGTCATGTTCAACTCTTTCAAGAGGTAGCATATGATCAAGAGCCAATGATACTGAAGGAAAAAGTCCAAGGTGCATTGAAGGAATTGGTAAAGAATAAGGCACCAGGAGTTGATGGAATAAAAATTGAAATCTTTCAAGAAAGTGAGGCAGCACAGGAGGCACTCACTTATCTCTGCCAAGAAATTTGGAAAACAACTATCTGGCCGACTGATTGAAAGAGATCCATATCTGTGCCCATTCCAAACAGAGGTGACCCAATGGAATGCGGAAATCATCAGAAAATATCTTTGATATCCCATGCGAGTAAAGTTTTACTAAAAGTTATACAAGAAACGACTACAAGCATACATTGGCAGAGAACTTCCAGAGGTTCAAGCCAGATTCAGAAGAGGCCGTGAAACGAGGGCTATAATTGCTGATGTCTGATAGATCTTGGCTGAAAGGAGAGAATATCAGAAAGATGTTTACTTGTGCTTTATTGACTACACAAAGGTTTTCGATTGTGTGGATCATGACAAGCTATGGACAACATTCCAAAATATGAGTATTCTCGAACATTTAATTGTGCTCATGAGGAATCTGTACCTGGACCAAGAGGCAGCTGTTCGGACAGAACATGGGAACACTGAATGGTTTCAAATGAAGAAAGGTGTACAGCAGGATTGTATTTCACCATACTTATTCAACTTGTATGCTGAGCAAATAATCCGAGAAACTGGGTTCTATGAAGAAAAACGTGGCATCAGGATTGGAGGAAGACTCATTAACAACCTGCGATTTGCAGATGATACAACCTTGCTTGCTGAAAGTGAAGAGGACTTAAAACATTTACTGATGAAGATCAAGAGCACAGCCTTCGGTATGGATTGCATCTCAATGTCAAGAAAACAAAAATCCTCACCACTGGGTCAATAAACAATTCTTATCAACATAGAAAAGATTGAAGTCAAGGACTTCATTCTTCTTGGATCAACTCTCAATACTCATGGAAGCAGCAGTCAAGAAATCAGAGAATGTATTACATTAGGCTAATCTGTACAAGTCCTTTTTAAAGTGTTGATGAACAAAGATGTCAAATTGAAGACGAAGGCATGACTGACCCTAAACCGTGTGGTATTTTCGGTAATCTCATATACATGCGAAAGCTGGACAGTGAATAAGGAAGACCGTAGAAGAATTAATGCTTTTGAGTTATGGTGTTGGAGAAGAATATTGAAAGTGCCATGGGTTGACAAAAGAACTAACAGATCTGTGTTGGAAGAAGTGTAGCCAGAATGCTCCTTGGAGGCCATGGTGGCCAAACTTCATTTCTCATCCTTTGGACATATTGTTTGGAGAGACCAGTCGCTGGAGAAGGATATCATATTTGGTAGATTGGACGGTCAGAGAAAAAGAGGAAGACCTCCAACGAGATGGATTGGCAAAGTGGCAGCATCAGTGGGCTCAAGCGTGGCAATGATAGTGAGGTTGGCCAGGATCAGGCAATGCTTCGTTCTGCCGTGTATAAAGTCACTATGGGTCAGAACTGACTCGATGGTACCTAACAACAACAACAACAATCCTCATGAGTTGGTAAAACAAACACTCCAAAACAAAGACTTAAAAAGCTACTTTTCTTTTTTTAAGGTATTTATTGTGAACTGAGTGAACGTTTACAGGACAGAGCATCAGTTTTACATTCAACAGATCATCCACCTTGTTCTGTAGGTTAATGTGTCAGACTGCAAAGCTTTTTTGAACTGCAAGGTTGGTAGTTCAAGCTCACCAGCTTCTCCCCGGAAACCCTATACATGGTCACTATGAGTTGGAACCAACTCTGCGGTACTTCACAGCAACAACAGCAACCTCCATGAGTATAGGTCAGGAGGTTGTTGTTGTTGTATCCACTTTAGCTTTAAAACAAAACAAAACAAAAAAACCCAATCAGACATATATAACAATTTACACCTCCGAAAGGGCACATTCTGCAAGTTTGCCTCCTAGCCACCAGCTCTTAGTCCCCCTCTTCCCATGAATGTAGAGTTCTCAGCCACTCCACCTCTCCATGACCCCATCTCTGCCTCCATCTGTGGTGTTGCTGCTTCTCTAAATAAGGTCCCTCATTCTGCTAGTGCTCTTCTCCCTTGATGGTCCAAGGGTCCTCCATTGTTGGACTGTAAGATTAACCACTCCAGTTTTTTTTTTTTTTTTTTTTAACAAAACTTCTACCTTTACAATTGTGACAGTCGCAATTAGTCATGATAACAATTATTCAGTATTGAATCATATGAATTTTATCCCCATCTCTTTTCACCACACTCATGTAGACAAGATGGAAACTATTCAGTGGGGACTCTATTTCCACCCATACTCTTAAACTAAACTCCCTCTTGAAATCTTGTAAGCTAGTCACTTTGTGCCTTTATCGCCCCTAATTTTAGGTAGCCAATGTTTAACTTGCCTGTCCTATCTACCCTATGTACAGAGGGGATAGCATTGATACTTGATGTGAAGACTCCTTCCCTCTCTCTTGATAATTAGCGTTACTACCCCCATGAGTATAGTTGAGATTCATCAAATTGTAACAATTTATTCTTGTATCCTTTATCAAAAAAAAAAATTTTTTTTTTTTTTCAATCTTCCTCTAGTCGAGTTCTGATTATCAAGGCATTGAGGGTAGCTTATATGGGCACTGTCTGCATGTTTGGTTGTTCTTGTTCATCTCTCCTCACTTCATATCAGCTGGATGCTTCACTCTCAGCTCTAGCCCTCTGTGGCTATGTCCTTGTCCACGGACTCAAGTGTCCTCAGGTCTCACCACATTTTGACCAACCAACCACATTGCCTTCTTGCCTGCATGATTTCTGTTGAGAGATGCGAGCTTAATCTGATTTGCTTGCTTTTGTATGTTATACTTCTCTTTTCCCTAGCTGCTTTCAGGATTCTGTCCTTATCTTTGAATGTGTAGAGCTTGATTATTATATGTCTTGGTGATTGTCTTTTAGGGTCTGTCCTTCCTGGGGTTCATTGAGCTTCTTGAATGCTTATCTTTTCACTTTTCAGGATGTTTGGAAATTTTTCTTCCAGAAGCTCTTCAGCTATCTTCTTTGTGGACTTGTGTGATTCTTCCTGTTCAGGAATGCAGATAATTCTTAAGTTATTCCTTTTCATGTTGTCCAACATGACTGTTAGACCGTCTTCAGATTTTTTTAAAGCCTTTTCTGTGTTTGCTCTTCTGTCTTTGTAGTGTTGAGAGATTTATCTTCTAGCTTACTAGTTCTAGATTCTGTCTGTTCAGTTCTGTTCCTTTGCCCTTTCAGTGTATTGTTCATATCTGATAGTCTATTATTAATAATATGGACCTCTTTCTGTAGGGTTTTAATTTTTTCCAGTGTTGCATCTATTTTATTTGATTGTCCTGTGGCACTTTCCTGACTTCTTCCTTATTTTTCTCAACTCCATTGTATAGTGTTTTGATACATTTTATAATCATTTTTGTGAATTCCTTCTCAGGAATTTTCAAAGCCTGCCCATCTTCCAGTATGGAGTGTATTTCTACTTCCAGCTCATTTGCATCAGTCACTTTATCTTGTTTCTGGACATGTGCTGATATGGTCATCTGTTTCTGTTTTTGGGGCATTTTCAGGAGTTATCTGTGCCCTCAATTGCCTCCAGGTAGATGTAATCAAGAGATGGGCTTCCCTTCTTCCTGAGAAATTTCAAGATGCCTTGGTTGTTGTGATGTAATTCAGGATTTAATTTTCGGCCTGTTTCATTTTTAGTCTGCCTGCCCCACTCCACGATCCCCGTTCATGCCTTTTTCCTAGTGATAAACTGTTCTGGGCTGGTTGTGGAAACTGTCACTTTAAATTTCGAGGAGATCTGTGCACATGCATAGTAGAATCCTCTGGGATTGGGGTGGGGGTGGGGTATCCACTCAGTCAGGCACCCACTCTAGTCACCAGAATCGAGGTACACAGTGAGACACCAATGAACAGATACCAAAAATCAAAGAATGTCCACGCCTTTATCTCCACTGTTTTATCAGGCATCTGTGGCTGCTTTGATCCTTTCCCTACTTGGTTTCATCCAAGATGGCAGTGCCAGGAGCAGCTGAGCATCTTGAATTAGACAGCACTGGATTTCTTGCTTCTGTTACAAATCCCCAGAGCTGTAAGACTTCCAACTTTCTAATTGTTACTGTATATGTGGTTCAGAGTTCTGGGACCATCTCCTGAGCCTACTTGGTTTGGTATTCTGTGTTGTTTCTGATGGAGCTCCTTACTGCACTTCCACCCGATCTGCCATCTTGTTTGTTCTCTCCCTAAAAAGCTACTTTGATACGAAATTTCCAGTTAAGGGAAGTTGGTTATATCTTATAGAGTGTTTCTTCAAAAATAGTTTAAAATAATATGTTTAGCTAAAGAAGAGAGACTAAAACCAAATTTTGTTCCATAACACTCAAAAACTGAATCATTTCTTCAGTGCTGATAACTCTGGTTATTAGTAAATTAGAAAAATGATGGCATAATTTTTATGGAACGGTATTACTTTTAGTGGAATTCTTATCCATAGAGAATCAAATTGTATCTGTGGAGCAAAAGACTTCTTATGTTCACGTTAGCACAAAATTTAGCAGTTTTAGGGAGTGTATGGATCTGTGGACTTTCTAGGGAAGTTTTGTTTTAAACTATTTTTTTAAGAGATAATTTCCTACTAACAGTTTGATGTGTTGCTGTATAATTTGTAGGAGTTGTGTCACATAGAAAAACGAAAAAACCTGTTTTTTGTAACAAAATTTTATTGAGACACAGCTATTCCCTTTCATTTCATTTTGTTTTAAATATTGTATTTTGGCTCAAAGTATACACAGTACACAGCCAAAAAGTCTCTCATTCATCAATTTCTGTATGTGATATTCAGTGACATTGTTATATCCTTCACTTTGTATCAACATTCTCACATCTGCTCTAGTTGTTCCATTAAGGTAGTGTCAGTGTTCCTAACCTTTATCATCCTGCTTTAGAGATAGTCTCATAGATATATATATATGTATGTTTTTTAAAGTGCAGTACTTATTTACTGTTTGAGTTAACTTGCTGTTTAGTTAAAAAGTGACATTAGGGGATAATTTTAGTTCAAGGTTTAAAGAATATCTTAGGACAATAGTCTCAGAGATTCCTCTAGTCTCAGTGGGTCCCGTATGTCAGGATTCTTTGTGAATTTGGAGTTCTGTTCCATATTTTCTCCATTTCTATCAGAGTCCATCTTTTCTGACCCTGCTTAGAATGTTCAGTAGTGGCATTTGGGTACCATGTGGTTCATATGGTTTCAAGGGAGAGGAAGTTCAGTGTTTCAGTTAGCCCTGTAGTCTAATTCTGTAATTCTTAGATCTCCAAATTCTTTCTCTTGCTACAAGTGAATAGAGACAAATAGTTATTCGTAGATTACTGCTTGCAAACTTTTAAGCCCAAATCACTACTCATCAAAGTAACTTTTTGAACCGTATTATTCCAGTTGACTGAATTGTCTATTGAGAATGTGACTCTTACGTCATCAAACCAAGAAAACTAATCCTCTCAGGTGATTGGTTATGTCCTATTTGAAAAGTGTTATCCTTTTAAAAGTAGGAAGTAATAGATTTACCTCCTAATCAGGGATCTAATGTGGCAAGGTCATTAAGTCATGAGTCATATAGTGTTGTGGCTAGTATGGTGTTTTTGGAATCTGTTAGAAGATCTGGATTCAGATCTGGGCTCTGCTACTTCCTGGCTCCCTGGCTAGTCTGCTGGTGATTTCTCAGCATTTTTTGTGTCATCTGTAAAAAGCCTACCATAATGACTGACACTCAGTAAATGGTGTTTGTAAATTCAGTGTCGGATTATATTTGACTCCCTTAGAGTAACCTTGCCTTTGAGTTGTGGTGTTGGAGGAGAATACTGAGGGTGCCATGGACTGCCAAAAGAACCAATAGATCTGTTTTGGAAGAAGTGCAGCCAGAGTGCTCCTTGGAGGCCAGGATGGCTAAGCTTCGTCTCTCCTACTTTGGACATGTAGTCCGGAGGAAACAATCGTTGGAGAAGGATGTCATGCTGGGTAGGGTGGAGGGTCAGAGAAAAAGAGGAAGACCTCCAACGAGATGGATCGGCCAGGTGGCATCATTGATGGACTCGGGGGTGGCCGCGGTGGTGAGGTTGGCCCAGGATCGAACATTGTTTCGTTCTGCTGTGCATGGAGTCGCTATGAGTCGGTTCCGACTCGATGGCACCTGACAACAACAACAAGAGTAACCTACCTACATGCTTCTCTACCTTTTTACTCTTCAGAGAAAGGACATTTTGAATGCTTCAATACAAGAAAAATTTGTATTTTGAGTTTTGTATTTTTTTAAAAAAACAATTTCAAATACTTAATAAAATTCAGGTAATATTATTAGCAATTACTCTAAATTTTTTTGTCATTCTAGGAGTCGTGGTGTGTGTGGCACTGTAGGATTAGTACTGAACTGCTAACTGCAAGGTTGGCAGTTCATACCCACCGTTCACTCCTCAGAAATCCTATATAAATACTGTGTTGAGTTGTGATTCACTTGATGGCACCTCACAGCAACAACAGGGCTTATGAGGAGGAATTGGATTATACATCTACATTTTAAAGCTTTACTGTATGTAAAAAGTTCATGGAAAAGTGCATGATCAGTGTTTATTATAGAACTTAGTCTTTCAATTTTTAAATATGCAGGAATGTGTAAATAATTATTGTTAAGAAATTTTTTTAAAAAGCTCTGCTGCTCTGTTCTTTTGGAAATTTTTCTTTGTGCTAGGTTTGAGAGTGATACTTTTATTTATCTTTGTTCATTACCAAAGTTGGATCCACTAATGGAGGTCTCAAATTTCTCCATGGCTGCTGTTGTTGTTAAGTGCCATCGAGTTGGTTCTGACCCATAGCGACCCTCTACAGGGTTTCTGAGGAGTGGCTGGTAAGCTTGAACCGCTGTCCTTGTGGCTCACACCGACTTTGCAGTCTGATGCATTAGCCCACAGTGCCACACCAGGACTCCTTCAAACTTGGATTTTCCCCTAAGTAAAGTGGTATGATTTTTCTGTTTTTTTTCAATATTAAAAGAATAAATGTAATCATTTTTTAAAGAGAGACATGTTTGTGTGTTCTTAATTAACCAGATTATTGTTTTCTTTCTTACCGTTTAATGAAGACTACTGGATAAAGCCTGGAGTCCATGTGATGATGGAAGTGTCGTGTCAAGACTGTTACTTAAAAATCCAGAATATCAGTGTCTTGGGTTTGGAACATGAAATGGATGTTGTGAAAAGTTTTAACAAGAATAAAGATTCACAATCTTTAGGTAATGAAGCTGAACTCTGTTGTGCCCTGGCTAACCTTCAGACCAGCAGACCAGATTCTGTAGAGCAGATGTGTGTATTGGAGTCTACAGAAATTGCTTTGCTTAATAACATCCCATATCATGAAAGTTTTAAAATGGCAATGAGGAAAGTGTTGTCGTCACTGACTCCAGAGAAACTCTTGCAGGCCATGGACACTCATTGTCCGAGTGAGGAAATGAACCCTGGGAGTGGACAGAACGAGAATTCCCTACAGGATGCCCCTGACCCTTACTATGTGTTAGATGTATCTGAAGGCTTCTCTATTCTGCCTGTAATTGCTGGCACACTTGGGCAGGTGAAACCTTACAGCTCTGTGGAGAAAGACCAGCACCGCATCACTCTAGGCCTTATTTCCGAGGCCAATCACTTTCCTAAGGAAACACTTGAGTTTTGGCTGAGACATGTGGAAGATGAATCTGCTATGTTGCAGAGGCCCAAATCAGACAGGTTGTGGAGCATAATCATCTTGGATGTCATTGAACCATCTGGGCTCATTCAGCAGGAAATCATGGAAAAAGCGGCAATATCCAGGTATGGTACAAAATAAAACTTTGGGTTTATTTGAGTTCAAACTTCATCCTTTTAATTCTTAAGGGCATACTGTAAAACTGAGGATAATTTTTATGTCCCTTAAGCATTGCTGTTCATGTCTAGTGAGCTCATGGCTTTCTCTGTGTATGTATGTTATTACTGATTTTCCCCCCAAGGGATCCCTGTGGTAGATTTGAAGAAGTGGCCCTGTAATAAGGCAAAAGTAGAGAGCTATAAGAACAAATGAGAAGAAATTCAGCATAAGGACAAATCAGATTTCATTTTAAGATTTAGGAAAACAAATCAGATTTCATTATAAGATAAGGACAAATCAGATTTCATTTTAAGATTTATATTTGATGTCATATAAGGATCCCTTCTGCAAGAGAAAGGGGAGGCTTTCTGCTCCCATAAAGATTTACAGCCTTGGAAATCCTGTACAGGGTTGCTATGAGTTGGAATTGACTCCCTGGTATTTAACAACAAGGATCCCTAGCAGCACATGGACTCTACCCTCAAACATTGGCTGTTAACCTCAAGATTGGTAGTTCAAACCCACCATTCACTGTTGAAGAGAGATAAGGCTGTCTGCTCCTGTTTCATGGAGTTATGGGGAGGTGTATTCATTCAAGGGGGTCTTTTGTGAAAGAGAAAGTCCCAATAACTCCGATGGAATTTGGCAGCTTTCTTTTTTAACTCAGCCTGATCTTTTGGGCATAAGAGATCAGAAGTGCTTTCATTTTCAAAATTGTCACTTTTCTTTTGTTTGTTAGCATAAAAAACTCTTAATTTAGATGTTAACAGAGGTGTTTTTTTATTGAGCATATCAAGGGTCTGAGAGAGGGCCTTCGTTCCAGGGCAGGGGTTCAGAGCATCACAGAATAAATTCCACAGGGAAAGGCTCTCTCAGGTCCCTGTTGTTTATAAAACTTTCTCATTTCTATATTTGCCTTTACCCCTGTCTGAATTAACAGTCCTTCACCTATTTCAAAAGCCAATTGTTTAGCCACACTACTTGCTGCTTTTCATTAGTAATAACTTTTTTGACTGTCTGTAAGAGACGAGCTACAAAATCTTCATAAGGCTCATCTGATTTTTTGCTTAACGCCACTTAAGCCAGCCTTACTAGTAGTAGGAGGCAAAGTCTCAGCTTCTTTAAGAGCTACTTGAAATCTAACTTGTAAGGGAGGAGGTTTAGAGGAATTCTTGAGGGGAGGGAGTATGAGCTTGCTCTTTGATCAGACCATAACTAGCGTGTTGAGAGAGCAAAGGACGAGAGGAGGGCAGCTTTTCCTGAACGGAAAAATCCTCCAAATGATATTTTTCAGCCTTTTCCTTCAACAAAGCCTGTTCTGGGTCACTGTTATTTTGAACAGGAAAAGCAGAAGGCTTGCGGGGTAAGAGAGGAGTTGGAGGAGAGAGAGTGTGCATAAAATGAGTAGTTTCATGACGAGGATCTAAAGCGTCACAAAATAAATTCCAGAGGGCGAATGCCTCCACTGGAACATTTTCAGGTCCATTAAGGGAGTAATATTTCCTCATTTCTGCACCAACCTTTTCCCAGGTCTCTGGGTTTACAGCTCCTTCCTCAGAGAACCAGGGACAGCAGGTCTGAATAAAATATAAGAATCTTGCCTAACACATTAGAGCTAACTTTTATGTCTGTCTTTGCAAGCATCTGTTTGATGATTTCAGTAAAAAGTCGTCTGTCTTTGGACTCTTTCTGACCCACGATTTAAAGCGTAACTTCAATAATCAATCTTTTTTAGACTAATTATGGCACATAACATCTCAAAAGTTCTGTAAACTTCTCACCCGTCGCTTACTTGACACTCTCTTGTCAAGGGGTCCGGTACCCAAGGCTGAGGTCCTATCCACACCGAACACTCTTCTTAATTGCTGATATAATGGGATTTTTATGTTAAGTTATTGGTACTTACCCTTTTGTGCCCCACGTTGGGCGCCAGAATGCTGGGGGCGGGGGCAGCCGGGGGCCAGCCCAGCCCCGACACACTTATTAAGGGCGCTCACGAAGAAATGTGTGGAGTCGGCTGAAGAAATAAATCACACGGAGCCGATGATTTGTGCTGAATTCTGATGATGATGATTTTAATTTTTAATCTGTCACTTAATTTTTTCAGCTCCTTTTATACTGTTACAATACACTATGATCTCATAACAATCAATTTCTTTTTTGCATTACACAAACGATCTTGTTAAAATACCTTAACCTTTCTGACATCCTAAAATGTCAGGTTAACCTTAAAACATAATTCTAAATCTTAACTCCTATTTCTACCCTCACCTATTGCTTTTCATAGATTCATTAATCACAACAAGTACCTAAACATTATTTGCTATGGTAACTGACAACACAGTTGTTTCTCATGATTGATTAAACAAGAAAAACAAGAAGCACTTACAGTTTTGTAGTTAAGAAGAAACGGAACAACTTCTTTATACTGAAAACTTCTCTATACAAAATATCTAGTTAAATTTCTGCTTATGATCTATTACTATTCCCTTAGCCCTAAATTGCATTTTTAGCTAATTTTCTAGAAGTCTTGATGTCACTGACTGAAACTACACAGAACATTGAATGTAATTTTAAACTTGGACTGGCAAAAACTTTAGCTGGTTTTTCCTAGTGGTGAAACCTATTGTTAGTGTGAAAAGCATTCTTTAGGACTACATATGATTGAATATGGTGTGAAGGTGCCTAAAAACAAGTTTCAAATCTCTAATATAATTCTTACTAAGATTCTACTGAAAACTTTTATTATAAAATCAAGAAAATTAAAAATAAGCTGATTAAAACAAAGAGACAGAAACTGCAGTGTCGCTGCATGAGATTTCTTCTGGGGCCTTGCCTTCCAAGGGGAGATCCATTGTGGCCCTGCTTAACAATGAGCCCTTCATGTTTAGGGTCCTCAGCATGGCCTGTGCCAGTCTTCCATTTCATTGACCCTCTACTTTTCCAAGCATGATGTCCTTTTCCAGGGAATGGTACCTCCTAACAACATGTCAAAAGCACGTGAGAGATGGAGTCTCACCATCCTCGCTTCTAAGGAACATTCTGGCTATACTTCTGCCAAGAAAGACTTGTTTATCTTCTGTCAGTCCATGGTACTTTCTGTATTTTTCAATATCATAATTCAAGTGCATTGATTCTTATATGATCTTCCTTATTCATTGTTCAGCTTCCATAGGCATAAAAGGCGATTGAAAATACAACCTTCAAAGATGTCAGTTTGAAGACTAAGGTGTGCTTGTGTGAAGTGCATCGTAGTCCACAAACTGACATTTTTAATCTTAAACACTGTAAAGAGCTCTTTTGTAGCAGATTTGGCTAACGCAGGAAATTGTTTGATTTGGCTGTTGCTTCCATGAGTGTTGGTTGTGGATCCGAGTGAAATGAAATTTTTGATAACTTCAATTTTATCTCCGTTTATCATGATATGTATTGGCCCAGTTGTGAGGACTTTTTTGCATTGAGTTACAGTCCATACTGAAGGCTTTGATTTTCATCAGTAAGTATTTCATGTCCTCTTTATTTCCAGCAAGCAATGTCATCTGCGTATCACAGGTTGTTAATGACTCTTCCTCCAATCCTGATGTCACGTTCTGCTTCACGTAATCCTGCTTTTGGGTTAATTTGCTCAGCATACAGATTGAATATGTAGGATGAAAGAATATAGCTCCAGTGTACACCTTTACAGATTTCGAACCATTCAGTATCCCCTTACTGTGTTTGAAGAACTGCATTTTGGTCTGTGTACTGGTTGCTCATGAATACAAGTATTCTGGAATTTCCATTCTTCATAGTGTTATCTATAGTTTCTTATGACCCACACAATCAAATACTTTTGCATAGGTCAACATCATTCTTGTATTCTGTGCTTTCAGGCAGGATCCACCTGATGTCAACAATGGTATCCCTAGTTCCATGTCCTCTTTTGAATCCAGCTTGCAGTTCTGGAAGCTTCCTGTGGATATACTGCTGCCACTGTTTAATTACCTTCAGCAAAATTTATTTTCATGTAATAGTGATATTGTTTGATGGCTTCTGCATTTCATTAGGTCACCTTTCTTTGAAATGGGCTCAATTATGGATCTTTACCAATCTATTTATAGGTAGATATTTTCCAAATCTCTTGGCATAGACAAATGAGTGCCTCTAGCGCTGCATCAGTTTGTTGAAAGATTTCAATTTGTATTCCTTCAGTTCCTGGAGCCTTACTTTTTGCTGATGCCTTCAGTGCAGCCTGGACTTTGTTCTTCAGTACCATAGGTTCTTGATCATATGGTACTTCTTGAAGTAACTGAACATCAGTTACTGCTTTTTGGTACAGTGACTCTGTATATTCCTTCCATCTTCCTCTGATGCTTTCTTCATTCAATATTTTGCTCATAGAAACCTTAAGTATTGCAAGTTAAAACTTGAAATTTTTTCCTCAGTTCTTTTAGCTAGAGAAATACTGAGTGTGGCTTGCCCTTTTGTCTTCTAACTACAGTTCTTTGCACATAGCATTTTAGTACTTGACTTTGTCATTTTGAGCTGCCCTTTGACAATTTCTGTTCATTTCTTTAATTATTTCTGATTGTCTCTTTAACTTCTCTATGTTCAAGAGCAAGTTTCAGAGTCTTTTCTGACATCCACGTTGGTCTTTTCTTTCATGTTTAATGACTTTTTTTCCCCTTAATTTTCACATTCTTGGTGTCATCCCACAACTTTTCTGTTCTTTGGCCATTGATATTTGATGCATCAAATCTGTTCTTGAGATGATCTCTGAATTGAGGTGGGATATACTCAAGGTTGTATTTTGGCTCTCATGGACTTGTTTTAATTTTAGAGCAACTGATGTTCTGTTGTGGCGCTGGCCTTATTTTGGCTTAATGATATTGAACTTCGCTGCCCTCTCCTCCCACAGATGTTGTCAGTTTGATTCATGTATATTCCATCTGGTGAGATCCACATGTATAGTTGCCTTTCATGTTGAAAAAAGTATTGGCAATGAATTAAGTATTTGGTCTTGCAGAATTCTATCATGTGCTCTCCAGCAGTGTTTCTATCATCAAGACCATATTTTCTAACTATAAATCCTTCCTCTTTGTTTCCAACGTTGCGCATTCCAATCAATAGTAATTATTAATGCATATAGATTGCATGTTTGATCAGTTTCAGACTGAGGAAGTTTGTGGAATTCATTTTCATCATCACTGGCTGTAGTGGTTGGTGAATATATTTGAATAACTGGTCTTTCTTGTAGTATGGATATTATCCTATCACAGACAGCCTTGTGCTTCAATATAGATCTTGAAATCTGTTTGACAGTGAATGCTGTGGCTTTCCTCTTTCAGTTTTTTGTTCCTGGCATAGTAAACCATATTATTATGATTCCAAATGGTCAGTACCAGTCCATTTCAGCTAACTAGTACCTAAGATATCATCTTTATACATTCCAGTTTCACTTTTGATGGCTTCCAATTTTCCTAGATTTAAGATGGTCCTTGGAAGCCCTATACAAGGGTCTCTGTGAGTTGAAACTGACTTCGATGGTACTTAACAACATACTTCAAACATTCTGCAGTCCGATTATTAATGGATGTTTACAGCTCTTCGTTCTCATTTTGAGTTGTACCGCATCAGCAAATGAAGGTTCCATAACCTTTACTCCATCCATAACATTAAGGTTAACTCTACTTTGAGGCAGCTTTTCTCCAGTTCTGTTTTGAGTGCCAGGAGTCCTGGTGGCATTGCGGGTTAATGTGCTGGACTGCAAGATCAGTTTGAGCCACAGTGAAAGCTCACCAGCTGCTCCTCAGAAACCCTATACAGGGCCACTATGAGTCAGAACTGACTTGACAGCACTTAACAACATCAATTTTGAGTGCCTTCCAACCTTAGGGTCTCATCGTCTGAGATTCTTTCAGAAATCTATGTCCCATTGCTATTCATAATGTTTTCAGTGGCTAATCCTTTACAACTGGTTTACCTTTCCTTCATAGTCTTGTCTTAGTTGGAATCTCTGTTGACACCTGTCCACCATGGGTATCCCACTATGTTGTTGGCAGTGCCAATCTGTAGTGAACCCCACCCCCCTTGTACGGTTTCTGAGGAGCAACTGGTGTGTTTGAACCACTGACCTTGCAGTTGGCAGTTCAGTGCTTATCCTACAGTGCTATACCAGGACTCCAGGTGTCCTACTATTGGTTAAGTTAATTTTGATCCCATAGTTTAAGTTGTAACCAGCACGTTTCTTCACAATTAGTTTTTTTTCTTTATATTCAGTCATTTATGGGATGATACTGTGAGACTGGAGTCCTGGTGTGGCGCTGTGGGTTAATGTGCTGGACTGCAAAGTCAGTTGAACCGCTGGTTCAAGTTCACCAGCCACTCCTCAGAAACCCTGTACACGGTTGCTGTGGGTTGGAACCCACTCGATGGCATATAACGACAACAATAACAACTTTGAGAGTATGTAAATATCCTTTTCCTGATCATTCTTTCATTCACTAGTTTTAGCATTCATTGATGACTCTTGCCTGAACCTAATGACGTATCTATCCAGCAGTATGGTCATTTTTCTCAACAGTCACTTTAATTTATTGGGAAATTCTTTGTTGTGGTTTACTGTCCTGCCAATAACTTAAAGGTAATTAGACTATTTGTATGCAGTCTATAGCTAATTCATTATGACCCTTACTTATTAGTATTTATAGGGGATCAAACTCAAACATTTTACTTTCTCTAGGTGTTTGCTACAATCTGGAGGCAAGATCTTTCCTCAGTATGTCGTGATGTTGGGGTTCCTTGTAGAATCAGAGATACTGGTAGAAGAGAGTGCTGTTCAAGGAACAGAACGTACTCTTGGAGTAAATATAGCACCTTTCATTAACCAGTTTCAGGTAAGTGTACCTTCTGTCTCTGTAGTTCTGTCTGGTCACTGTGTAGTTTATGTGGATGTGAATGATAATCAGTTTCCTAGAGCAAAGGAAGTTACAGTTAAAATCAACCTAAACATTAGAATAGGCAAGGGATTCTATCATTTTTTAGGTTGTGGAGTATTAGAAAGAAGACGCTTTTGTTGTCTAGGTCTAGTAAATGGAAAGATGTTTACCATTTACTCTTAAGGGGAAAATAGGAAGATCAGTTTGTATAATAGGGCTGGGACTGGGGTGCAGCGGGGGCTAGATCTTTGATAGTCAGTAGCGTGTACACTTGATCCTTGAACAACACAGATTTGAACTGTACAGGTCCACTTATATGTGGATTTATCGTAAAACACTATGCGACACCAATTAGCTTTGTGTGACTAGTTCATCACTCTGTGTGAGCAGTTTGTTGCTCCAGTAAGTGTCACTGTATGGTGATCTCTTGCAGTTCTCGTGCATTTTTCATCGTGGTTAGTGCAATGCCGTAAACCTTGAATAAAACCAGGGATCCACTTGTGACGTTGGAAGTGCTCTCAAGCAGAAAAAAGTTATGGCATTACTAGAAAAAAGTTGAATTGCTTGATATGTACCATATATTGAGGTCTGTAGCTGCAGTTTCTGGCATTTCAAGAGAAGTGGATCCAGAAGTAAAGGCCATTGAAAAAACAAGAAAAGGAAATAAAGGGAATTTGTGAAGCTGTCACTGCAACTGTGCCAACAGGGACCAAAACCTTGTATTTTGTCTCATATTGAGAATAAGCTTATATGTGGGTACAGTAATAATACATGTAACACACAATTTATGTGTGAATTGGCTGTCTATGTTATCACTAAGGTCAGCAGTAGGTTAGCAGTAGTTAAAACGTTTTTGGGGAAGTCAAAAGCTATATGTGGATTTTTGACTGCAAGAGGAATCAGTGCCCTTGGCATTGGTTCAAGGGTCAACTGTGTTGTTAAGTGCCGTCAAGTTGGTTCCTACCCATAGTGACCCTTGTATAGGGTTTTCAAGGAGCAGCTGGTGAGCTTGAACCACCAACCTTGCGGTTCAAACGGCTTTGCAGTTTGGCACATTAACCCACAGCGCCACACCAGAACTCCCAAAACTGTAAGACTGGATGAAATCATTTTTAATGTATGTAGAAAGGCTGAGAGCACTGAGCTCTAGAGAACTCAAAGGTTGGGAAGAGAGAAGAAATTAGCAAAAACTGTAGTAACCTATAGGCCAGGCTGAGAAATCAGAATAGTGGGGATAGATTATGAGGGATGGGTAGGGTAGAGTTGTGTGGGGATTAGAGCACAGACTAGGAGAGGTGGCTTCTTGGTGGCTGAATATATAGGCATAAAGAGCATAATGAGGAGTTGTGAAGATGGTATTGGGGTCACTGTGATTTTTTTATGGATAGGGAAGGTTGGATTCCTTCAGGGATGCCCAGGGAGGGGTATCTGTCCTGTTTCATCATGAAAGTTGATTTGTTAATATTTTACAGAGGAAAGAGGACTTGATGGAATACTTAATAGCAGTGGTTTTCAACTTTTGGATTAAATATTGGAAATATTTAGGGAGTTTTAGAAGTGCAGATACTTGGATCCCAATTCCAGATTGGTCAGGGGTGTGACCTGAGAATTGGGCTTTTTAAAAGCTCACCAGATGATTTTATTAAATACCCAAGATTGTGAGAACCATTTTTGTTACGTGCCATTGAGTCAGTTTTGACCCATAGCGACCCTGTATAGAGTTTCCAAGGAGCAGCTGGTGAGCTTTAACTGCCAACCTTGCAGTTCAAATGGCTTTGCAGTCTGATGCATTAACCCGTAGCATCACACCAGGACTCCATTAGCCCCATAAAAATAAGCTTTTTCCGATTGAAATTCACAGCAATGTTGCTTGACTGAATTTAACATCTCTCAAAAAATTAAGCAGTTAATGTGTTTTTTGCTTAGTTGGCTCTATGTTCTCCTCTTTGAAAACCCCATAGATTGCTATGGGTCAGAACCAACTCGACGGCTCTTTAACAATTTGGCTTAAAATTGAACATGCTCTCTCGTTCAAGTGAAGTTGCTTCTAGGTAATTAGAATCAGCAAATTACTAAAACCTGCCTAAACCTTGGTGTTCATTCTTCCTATAACTTTGTAATAATGAAACCCCTTAGGCTTTAAGGTTGATGTGGGAATTAAATGATTGGTAACTGCAAGGTGCTCTGGTGGCGTAGTGGTTACGAATCGGGCTGTGAACCACAAGGTCAGCAGTTTGAAATTACCAGCGGTTCCGCGGGAGAATGATGAGGCGTTCTGCTCCCGTAAAGATTTACAGCCCTGGAAACCCTGTGCAGGGTCGCTATGAGTCAGAACCGACTCCACGGCACTTAAGAACTGCAAGGTCAGTAGTTCAAACCCATCAGCTCTATACAGGGTTGTTATGAGAAACGACTCAACAGCTTACAATAGATAAAAAGTCCCGTATAATACTGAGCCAAATACAAGCAAGCACTTTTTAAAGTGCTTGAGTACACTTTGAAGTGAGTAAAAATGAAAAGAATTTGACTTTTTCTAGGTACCTATACATGCATTTTTGGACCTGTCTTCATTGCCCTGTATTCCTTTAAGCAAGCCTGTGGAACTTTTAAGACTAGATTTGATGACCCCATATTTGAATACCTCCAGCAGAGAAGTAAAGGTAAGGACAACATGCAAAATAATTGTTCTTATTATTTTAACACTTTATGTAAATGTTTCAGCCACTTTCAACATATGAAATTTATCCATTTCTTAGACAAAATACAGATATAAGTTTGTATAAAAGTAAAGAAAATAGGTTGGTGTTTACAAATTTGAATCAGGTGATTGACTTTCTAAAATTTTGTATTCAAAATTGACAGAGAAAAATGATTTCTTTATCCAAGTCTACTCTGATAGCGTTGTTTAAATTTACCCTGATAGCATTGTTTAAAGTTTTCATTAATTTCTTCATTTTCACAGGTACACATTTGTAAATCTGGACGAGTGACTGCCATTCCATTTTGGTATCATATGTATCTTGATGAAGAGATTAGGTTGGATACATCAAGTGAAGCTTCCCACTGGAAACAAGCTGCGGTGGTTTTAGACAATCCCATCCAGGTGGAGATGGGAGAGGAACTTGTATTAAATGTTCAGCACCACAGAAGTAATGTCAGCATCACAGTAAAGCAATGAACAGCAGTTCAGCATAAAACTGTTTAGGTATGCAGCAAGTGGAAACTCTCAGGTTTGAATTAATCATAAAATGAGGTAATAAAAAAATAACTCGTTAATAGTTGAGGATTAAAAAAACGTGACGTTAACACTTCATTGTAATAAAAATATTGCTACAAGGTTACTTTTTGGAAAGTACTGTCATTTGTTTTTCTAATGAGGAAATTTTAAATTCATTTTTATTGCTTGATTCTATTATATATTAAATTCTGCTGAACTAAAGATAGGGATTTTTATAGTCTCACCCTTATTGTCAAGTATTGATAAAAAAAGCTAAACTTTATTTTAGGCATTTTAGCCTGTTTTCTTAAATCCCAATTTGTAGCTGGAGAACATCCAAATGTAGGCTTCCACTGACCCCAAGAGATATGGCTACTTGTAAATGCCAAGCTTGTTCCCTTAAATAACTCAGATACCTTCTTGGGTTTTGTTAGGGGCATGCAAAATGGAAAAGAGAAATTTAAGTGGTAATAATAGACAGTTACAGGAGTTAGGGGAAAAAATCATCAGGAAAAGCAGCATTTTTCTGGTCTATTTTAAGCAAGGAAATTAGAAAGTTGATGACATTTTTTTTTTCTTTCATCTTTTATTTGATGTACTGTAAGAAATATATATGTCCAGTTTTTACAGTTTTGAAATCAGATTAATAAGGAAGATGCTTGTAACATTCATAAATATACCTTCTTAACATAACTAACCTCCAGTTTTGATAGAAATGTTTAGTTTATAATAGACAGAATAAAGACTTTGTCCTTAATTATTGTGAACCAGTAGAAATGTGTGTGTGTACACATATACATGAATATATAAAGAAGGGGCTTTTGAGAAGCAATACTTACCCTTGCTTCCCTTGTTATATGTGACATAACTTTTCTGGTACTTTCAGTATTTTCATTATTAAACTAAACATCATCCATTGACTAGCTAACAGAAAAACACCATCCTAAGTAATTTTCTTATTCTTCCAAATAACATCTATATGTTTTCTGGCTGTGGTTTAATAATTATAAAGAACTAAGAACAAGAATACTGAGCCAAAATCTATGTTTGTTGCCATCTTTAATAGCACCAAGTAAAAACGGACTACATTTCTATCACAAGTTTCTTATTTATTCTTTTGGTCATCTATCCAGTTTATTCTTTTCATCTCAAAGCTATGGATACCTCTATTCACCTACTAACTGTATTGCATATATGACCTTTAGATACTTAGGTGTTGTAAGATTAGCTTCTAGATATTTCTCCTACTAGGAATATAAGATAAGGTAAATTACCCATAGCTACTACTCCTCACTTATCGATGTAGTCATGTGAAAATGAGGATGACCACATCATTACCTAACTCCCAAAATCATTGAGCACAGTGGCAGCAGCCATTTGCTCAATTGTAGCAATGCTTGTGAGGTTGGTGCAAGACTGTGCAATATTTCGTTCTGTTGTGCATAGGGTTGCATGAGTTGATAGCGGCTTGATGGTACCTAACAATAACAAAATCATCGAGAATCAGTCCAGTCAAGTTGAGACATAACCTTAACCATTACAGCCAGTATTTACTCTCTCCTCTCACTTTACCATTCATTACTTAGCAGATATACATCATTAATTCACGAAAGAGTTGGATAGATTTTTTTACTGCTGTCATAAAGCCAGATAAGATGATAGTGGATAAGTGAGGAGTAGGTGCAGTTATATAACTTTTAAGCTCCCTCTCATTTTGATTAAAACATTAAGGGCTTATGTTTTGAAGAATGAGAGACAAAAAGTTGCAGAAAATAAATGATAAATTCTTATTTATTTATTGAAAGACATCCAGTTGAGAAATAGAGAAATAATTATTAGCTTATATGGCACATGATTAGGTTCCACTACTTCATGTTTCTGAATTACGCTTTCTGCTAAATCCAAAGCATTATGTTCATGCAGCAATGGTAGAAAGCATTTTTTAAAAAAAATGCCCATCCTCTTGATGAAGCAATGTAATATCAGGAACATTTAGTTGGAGTCATTTTCTACTATATGAGTATGTAATATTCTAGTGTTAAAAAATCAAGTCGAATTCTAGGGAATTTAGACTTACATATAAAACATAATTATATAAGTTCAATTGTTGTACTTGGCCTTCACCGATCTTCATGTTGGAACTGTCCATCATGTATGACTTGTCCCAAGCACAAAATCCTGAGCAATGGGATACCAGGTAATGAAATAGCATGGTAATAGCGCAGTTTGCTGCATCTACTGTTCATGAGGCCACAGATTTATCTGAAGGTGCTTTTTCTTCTGTCAAGTCATTAAACAGTTCATCAGGTCTCTTAGATGCAGTTGGTGTAGTCTGGGGGGTCACTGTGTGTCCAAACCCTTGGTAGTGACCCATGGGTGAAGATGGCATAGAAGAGGCAACAGAAATTGCATCTTGTGATGACGACGATAATAAACTTGTATGTTCATTTTGATCTTGATCCTCAGGAAAAAATTTTTTCCTAGGATGTCCCATGACTGTCCTTCCTTTAAAGAAATACAGTTTCCATGTTAGCCACAAGTTATTTTACCATGAAAAACTGTTCTAAAAAGGGACTCCTGTAGGACCAGCACTGGACTGTGAATCTCAAGGTGGGCAGTTCAAACCCACCAGCTGCTCCTTGGAAGTAGAGTTGTTGTAAGTCGGAACTGACTCTACTGCACTTAAACAACAACAACATTCTGAAAATAGTATGGTGGCACTAAAGGATAAGCACTGGATTACGAACCACAAAGTCTGGTTCGAGCCTAGCAGCTGCTTTGTGAGAAAAAGATAAGACGTTTTAAAACCTTTGTGGGAGAAAGATGAGACCCTTCAGAAACCCTGTACAGGGTTGCTATGAGTCAGAACCAATTCCAGGGTACATGACAATATTCTAAAAACAAACTAGTCACCCACCACCTCCAATGGGAAGAACCTCTAGGATGGTGCAGTCTCACAGTCCTTTCATCTCTTAAATAGTTAAAGTACACTACTGAAGTCCTGGTGTGGTATTGTAGGATAAGCACTGGACTGCTAGCCTCAAAGCTGGAGGTTCAAACCCACCAGCTACTTGTTGGAAACCCCATACAGGGTTGCTATGAGTCAAGACCGACGTGATGGCACTTGACAACAAAATGTCTTATTCAGAGAAATTACCTGAGAAATTACCTATCTGGATGAATTAAATGGTCGGTACTTACCAACGTGTCTTACTTGTTCAGAAATATCATCTCTAATATCTGAAACATCCCACATAGCAAGAAAAGAATCAAAGCACGAGCCTTCTTCTGCTTCTTGGACATACGGTTTATATGAGAAAGTGTAGTGATGAGCAATAGCAGCAAGAAACATCTCAATACAGATAATAAAGTCCTACAACAACAAACACATTTAACCATCTTTGTTTAAATCTGGTTTCCAAGTATAGGAGAAGCTCTCAATTTTCAAAAAGAACTCAACAACTTTAAAAAAAAATTATATTCACTTTCTGAAAATGTTTCATAAGTAATGATCTTTGATGTCTTATAAAAAAGAATACTTACATCTATATACTTCATCAATAACGTATTTCTTAGCAAAGCACAACCAATGCATCCTTAACCCACTGCCCAAAGACTAAAAGGAAAAATGTAGAAATCGAAATGGCCTTAGGAATAACAGAATCCTGGTTCTACTTCTGGCTCTCCTGTAAGTTACAGGGAACTTCTCTAGGTCTCCCGTGAGTGAGGGTATTGGAAGCTGCCTGGCCTAAATGTTGTCAGGTTTGGTAGACAGATTATGGGAAATAGTTGAACAAACAGTAAAGTTCTATAGAGTTAGTTATAGCACACTTCTTACCTGGAGTCCTGTAGCCACAGCTTCTACAGTTTGCCATTCCCATGTATGTTTTTCAGAAATAACGCCAACTTTTACCAACAAAGCAATAACTACTGCTTGCCTATATGTTAGGAAAAGGTAAACGCCAAATCTATATCAAGCATAAAATGAGCAGTTGTTTTAAAAATACATCATTTAAAACAGCTAAACCCCAATGCAACCTGTGGACCACCACCAACCACTGCTACCTGCCTTTACAACATTTAGAAACGGGGCACTTTCTTTATACTATGGGAAGACACAGAAACCAGGTGTGGTGGTGGAGGCTACTACACTAGACCCCAAGGTCGTTCTGGACCACAAGATTGGCAGCTCAAACTCACTAGCCATTCCTTGGAAACTACAGGGTCACCATAAATCGTTAACTGACTCCTCCACAGCACTTAACAACAATACAACAGCAACTACAGTTTCATCAGATGAATTCCGATTAGCCCAAGAATCCTTTTTTGTTTTAAAAGTATGCACAAGTAATTAAAAGTATTCTTACACATAGCCAATGCATACATTTAAAATATGTTTACACATGTAACATGATTCAGTCTTGTTTGAAGTACTGAATCTAGAGACAAAGAAGGGGTCTAACTAATAAGGAGTCATGCTAACATGTTTCAAGCAAATCTAGGGTTACGAGTCCAGGTTCATAGTTATATATATAAGAAAATTCACTTCAATGTTGCTTGTAATGGTGAAAATTTTAGGAATAACTTAAATGTCAATAGGACATTGATTACAGAGTTATATCCACACATGAGAATACTACGCAAATAACGCCCTCTTCCCCAAATTAGTAATTCTCTTTATTGTTGATGAACTAAACCACAATTTACTGAACATACTGCTAAGTTATACAAGCTTTTATAGTACGAAACCATTTTTGTGGAGTTTTATATACGACATTTGCACCGGAAATGCAAATCATTCTTTCTGGTAGTGTGATTTCTGGCATTTTCTTTTTGTTTTTTGTATTACTGCTTCTTAATAAACATGGTATATTTATTTCAGTGCCCCAGTCTCCTTGTTAGTTTTGCTTTCTGCTTAAAAACATTTTTATTGTAAACAGAACTTAAAGGAGCTAAAGGGATAAACTTGTAAAGGCCTTTTGATATTTTGGAGTCTCTGGGTGACAACAGTGAGTTCTGCTGTTAACAGAAAGGTTGATGGTTTGAATCTCCCCAGCGGTGCCTCAGGAAGGAAGACCTGGAGATCTACGTTAGAAAACTCAGCCATTGAAAACCCTATGGAGAACCACAGTTCTTCTCTGATGTATAAAGGGGTGCCACAAATTGGAATCCATCAATGAACAGTTACTGGTCTTTTTAGGAAGACTAATTAAAAAAGTCCTCCCTAATAAACAGTTTTACTGCCCTTAGAAAATGAGAATATTTAAGAGAAAGCAACACTTACCAAAAAGAAACAAAAACCACCAGCTTTACACACAGAAATTTTCCAACAGGTTGGATTGGACTGAGTTCTTCCTTTAGTACTTTATAAAATAGCAGGAGGCAATACATGGCAAACTAGAAACAAGTAACGGTTAAAGTTCTTCAATAGCATTACATATGGTAACAGAAATACACAGTGATGTTCAGGCAATTCCAGGATTCATTACACTATTTTTTAGATTAGCACACAAATAATTAGCTTACTATTTATATGCTACTTATATACTATTTGTAATTTAGTCCTGGTGTGGCACTGTAGGATAAGCACTCAGCTGCTAACTCCAAGACTGTTTGGTTCAAATCCATGAGCCACTCCTTAGAAACCCCATACAGATCAATTTGATGGCACTTAACATTGATAAATTACATGACAGTTCTAAACAGCGATGCTTTGTAACATACTAATGCTGTTGAGTCAGTTCTGACTCATAGCAACCCTGTATAGGGTTTCTGAGGTGCAGCTGGTGGGTATGCATCACCAATACTGCGGTTAACACTCCAGGGCTTTCCCTATAGCACCACACCAGGACTCCAGAACATACTAATGTATAGATAGGGTTTCTGAGGTGCAGCTGGTGAGCTTGAACCACCGACCTTCCTCCTTATAAATGTGTTCACCTAAAACAGCCAAAGAAAACAATGACTGATTTAATGAGTCTTATATAACATTGCTAAGGAAACACAAAATAAGTATAATTTCAATAAACTTGTGATCATGAAATCTGAGAGAATCAAATACTTTTGAGCGCCACATCAGGGCAACAGTCTACCTGAATTTACTTTTTAAAATAAATGCTTAAGACATTAGTTCTAGAAATCACTTGTAAAAAATAGTGTACTGTTGACTAGGGCTCCTAGGATAAGCACTGGGCTGCGAACCACAAGTCACAGTTCAAATCCACCAGGTACTCGGAATTCTGACACAGGGTCGCTATGGGTTGGAACAGACTCGATGGCACTTAACAAATCATTAACTAAATAATTTGGCTGGCTGCTGCTTCTAACAAACTACTTTGTGGTTTTTTATGTTTTATAAAGAGTAGTTTTAATAAGTGCATGATATTTTGGCAGGTGAAAGGACCACAATGTATTTAACCAGACTCCATCAGGAGCTTTAAGAATATTTTCAGCTTTTTTGCTATTATAAAAAACAGACTTTATCTACAAAGATATCCAAATCAAAAATACTTATCATTTCTTTATACACATTTCAATAGAAGGAATTACTAGTTTTAAAAAATACTAATGTGTGGAAACTTTATAAATAATATTCTAATACAAAGCATGCAAGTCATATTTCAACTATTGTTTTGTTGAAAGCTTTAACCAAAATTTTAAAAGAAAATACACATCTTTAAATTGGTAAGATCAGATACCTTTTTAAGGGAATTTCAGTTTGTAAAATATATATTTTTTGAATTTACACTTTTACTTTTTCTTAAATTCTAAATAACAGCAGAGAGTTTTATTACATTTTGAGTCCAACATTGTAATGTCTTGTTGTAATTAGATGTTTTCTTGCACTGAATACGCCTAGATGTGCATTTAAAAAAAAAAATGATATACCCATACAACTGCAGAGAGTACCGGAAACAAACAGGAATGACCAACAGGTCAAGGTCTAAGTCACCATGACAAATGGGAATACACCCACAAATAGAGACAGATTTGACAGAGAATACTTTTATATTTGTGCATGTATATAAGTACTGGAAATATACCCATGAATAGAGTAAAGCATTAAAGGGGCAAAGTTGAGAAAACTTTTTTGCCATAACCATACATCTTAAAAGAATGAGTTGCCTGTGGGCTCAGGACGATAGTCTCGGGGTACACTAAGGTCAACTTGCATACAGTCCAGAAAGACATCCTACTTTGGTGAGTATCAATGGGTTTTAAAAGCTTGTGAGTGATCATTTAAGATGCAACTTATGTTTTCTCCCTATCTGGAGCACAGACTGAAGAAAACCAAAGACGCAAGGAAACAATCAGTCCAAATGACTAAGGGGCCATGTGAACTCCAGCCTCCACAATCTTGAGATCAGAACTAAATACTATCTGGCTACCACTGCTGACTGACTGCTTACAAGGAATCACAGAACGAGTTCCCAGAAAGAGTGGGAGAAAAATGTAGGACAAAACCAGGCTTTGGTCTGATAGAGACTGGCAGAATCCCCAAGACTATGGAAGCCTGGAAGTAAACTCATCCATGTCCACCCCACTCCACCCATGGCTCAGCTTTCAGTCTACAAAGTGAACAAAGCCAACCACACAAGACCAAAAGGGCAGCATGTGCCCAAGAATAAAGCTCAGCTGGCAAGAAGGATGAAGGGACGAAGTGGAAAGAGTGTTGTTACATTAGTGATTGTGATCGATATCACAAAACAAAATGTGTATGAATTATTGAAAAGAAAGCCAATTTAAGCTTTCAAAAAAAAAAATCACAATTTACTACTATTTATTTAGTCTACATCACCAAATAAATAACAAAGATACTATTTTATCCTTATATGCAAGGGAGCTTCAAAAAGTTCACAGGAAAATTCCATTATTTTTTCATTTCATTTTCCCAGAACTTTTTGAATCCCCCTCATAATATTCATAAAGACGTATAATGAAGTTTCAAGTTCCTCCCCAAATAAAATTTCAAGAATAAAAACTTAATTTGTTCTAATAACTTTCCCTAAGAAAATTCAGTTACAGACACACAGTACAATTAAGAAAAATGAATATTTACTCACCAATTGTGACATGTTGTTTATTATAACCAAGTAAGTCCAAGCATTTGAAAAGCTAAAATTCCCTTCATCATATACACCAAGCAGCTCACAGATTCTTAATTAAAAAAAAAAAAAAAAGTTAAAATCACACAACTTCATGATTGTTATATGCAGCTGTGTCGATTCCATTTCATAGCAATCCTACAGGGCAAAGCAAGCAAACATGCCCTACTGGGTTTCACAGGCTGAAATCTTTACAGAACAGATCGCCCAGTCTTATCTCCTATGCTTATTTGAGCTGCCAACCTTTGTTAGTAGCTGAGCACCTAACCATTGTGCCACTAGGACTTGACTTTACAATTAACCAAATTAAAATGTATTTTATAATACAGCATGGACAACAATATTTAAATTTCGAAGTAGTTCATTTGAAGGATCCTTTAAGGGCCACTTGGTTTTGGTCACATAAGTGATTCAAAATATATCCAAATAATTTTTTTCTATAAACGTTGTTGTTGTTAAGTGCTGTCAAGTTGGTTCTGGCTTATAGCAACTCTATATGGGATTTTCAAGTAGTGGCTTATTGGTTTGAATTGCTGACCTTGCAGAGTTCAAACCAACCTTATGGTCTAATGCATTATCCTGCAGTGCCATAGAATTATTCCTCCAACTTGTAGGAAATCCAAAATGAGACACATGCATAAAATTAGTTTATTTTAAAAATTAAGCTGTCAAATTTTGGAAAAGTCATTGCGTGCAGTAGTTCTGTAGGGTAACCACCAGTCAATCCGCGGGATAAAGATGAGGCTTTCTGCTTCAGCAAAGATGTACACCTTCAGAAACCCTGTACAGGGTTGCTATAAGCTGGGACAGATTTGACAGCATGTACTAGTGTGGCGCTCGGGGTTAATGTACCAGACTGCAAAGCCATTTGAACTACAAGGTTAGCAGTTCAAGCTCACCAGCTGCTCCTTGGAAACCCTATATAGGATCGCTATGGGTCGGAACCAACTCGATGGCACTTAACGACAACAAGAAAATAATTTTGAAAAGTTTATTTTTTAAACACATATCATACAGGTCTGTAATTGCAAGCTGTAAACTGTTCTCCTAAACTCATTTGGAGGTAAATTTTACAAAGATTCAGATTCACCTAAGCAGAGACATTACCATCAGTATTAATCTGCATGCTTCTCCCAGTTTTTAAACTGGAGAGAAATACAGTATGTCTTCATAAAGAAGTGAATGAGTCTTCGTTTTAAGGCATATAGTTGCTAATTCTAAGGTTAACTGATTGCTAACTCAAAGGCAGAATAAAGCAGCACAGGCTTCCTTTACCTGTCTTTCTGTTCTTCCTCTGTGAACTTGCAGAATGTTAGTTATGACTAGGAGAAAAACATGCAACCACCTCCTTCTTTAAATTATTTGATGTTTTTTAACTTTAAAAAAGTAGTTTAACCTTATAGCTTAATGATAATGCCATTTTACCTTAAGTCTCAAGCCTTGAGAGGAGTTTTAAAAAAGGAAAATATGACTTCTGCATTGGAGGGTGTTGTTGTTGGTGTTAAGTGCTATCGAGTCAGTTCTGACTCACAGCGACCCTGTATAGGGTTTCTGAGGAGTGGCAGGTGAACTTGAACCGACAACCTTGCAGTTCAAAGTGACCTTGTAGTCCAGCACATTAATTAACCCAGAGCTCCACACCTGTACTCCATATTGGAGTATAGTACTTTAAATATACTTCTAAATTAATTGTATTGAAAATAAAATGATGTGTTTAACCTAAAGTAACATACTTTAATTTCATCCAATCGAGGTTTCTATATAGCTGTATGAACACTTACATAAGAAAGCATTTTAAAGATACAGAATGTATGCTATTTAGAAGGATGCTGTGGTGATTCTTTGCCTACAAATAGTTACCTTATTTTAATAGAACAGGACCGCTACATACCGTTTAATGTACAGTAGAATAGACCTACAACATAAACAATTATGTTCTTTATATGTGTTCCTACTCAACTGTTTCAAACACCAGTAAAAATAAAAGCATGAGGATTTAAAAAAATGTTTATTTCAATTCTGTATACTTACAATGCAACAATGGTGGTGAATGGTCTGACAACAGTATACTGTAATACGCCCAGTTTGCATCTAAAAAGCAATACTCTGCAAAAGAAAGCAAATTTATCATTTTAATTATTTAAAATCTTTTTAGGCAGATGATGTCACAATTAACCATAATTCTTTCAATTGAGTTCTTCAGAATAGCAGAAAGGGAGAAGAATATAGATGGTGGCAAGCACACTAGCTACCATTTTGAACATTGTCTTCTTTATTTACTAAGCATGACAATATGTATGAGTAATATCTGACAACTAAATCTTCTGAAAGGTCTCTGTGATAGTTAAGGATTTGTGTCAACTTGGCCAGACGAGGGTTCTCAGTCATGTAACAGTTAAGATGTAGTTCTCACTTCCATGATGAGCTCAATTCGATGCAATCGCCCACATGACTGGTTTGATATGATTTGCTTTGTTCTGATGTAATTAATGTGTTGTAAATCCACATTTCTATGATGTTATAATGAGGATTGGGTTGTATCTTGAGTCATTTCCTTGAGATATAAAAGGAGAGCAATGAGCTCAGCTAAAAAGGACCTACTACCATCAAGATGCTCATTGCAAGATGCGAGTCCTGGTGTGGTGCTGTGGGTTAATGTACCAGTCTGCAAAGCTGTTTGAACTGCAAGGTTGTTGGTGGTGGTTCAAGCTCACCAGATGCTCCTTGGAAACCCTATACAGGATCGCTATGGGTCAGAAATGACTCGATGGCACTTAACAACAACAACCATTAAGACAGAAGGAGCTCTGGTAGCGTAGTGGTTACCATTCAGGCTGTGAACCTCAAGGTCAGCAGTACGAAACTACCAGCTGTTCTGCAGGAGAAAGATGAGGCATTCTGCTCCCATAAAGATTTACAGCCTCGGAAACCCTGTACAGAGTCACTATAAGTCGGAAACAACTCCATGGCCCATCACCACCACCACCACCATCAAGATAGAAGAGCTGGGAGTGGAGTGCATCCTTTGGACCTCCTAGATAGAGGGAAACACTGTTGCCAGGGTGTATGGAGCTCTTCAAGGAATACTGGACCCATAGATGCTGAAAGAAACAAAGCCCTCTCCTAGAGCCGGCACTCTGAATTTGGATTTCTGGCCTCCCAGACTGTGAGACAGGTTTCAGCTGAGCTTCCAGACTAAGACTAGGAAGAAAGACAGATGGACTATTTCTGAATACTTAGTTATTAAAAACCTTATGAATAGTGTCATCATTAGGATATTGAAATTTGAGGAAAAGTACCAGAATACTGCCATATATAGTGCTGGAAGATGAATCCCTCTGGTTGGACGGCACTCAAAATACAACTGGGGAAGAGCTGCCTTCTCAAAGTAGAGGTGACCATCATGACATGAATGGAGTAAAGCCTTTGGGGAACTTCATTTGATGATGGGGCACAACTCAAAATGAGAAACAGCTGTAAACATTCATTAGTAATTGGAATGTGTAATGTACAAAATATGAATCTAGGAAATTTGGAAACTGTCAGAAAAGAAATGGAACACATAAGCATCAATATTCTAGGCATTCGTGAGATGAACTGGACTGGTACTGGCGCTTTAGAATCTGACAAATCTGGCTTAATATGCCAGGAATGACAAATTGGCTTCACATTCATCATAAAAGAAGAACATTTCAAGATCTATCTTGAAGTACAATGCTGTTTGTAACAGGATAATATCTATACACTACAAAGAAAACCAGTTAGTAAAACTATTATTAAAATTTACACACCAACCACTAAAGTTAGTGATGATGACACTGAATAATTCTACCAACTTCTTCAGTCTGAAATTGATCAAATATGTAATCAAGATATATTGGTAATTACTGGTGATTGGAATGCAAAACTTAAAAACAAAAGAAGGACCAATCGTTGGAAAATATGGTCTTGGTGATAGAAACGATGCTAGAGATTGCATGAAAGAATTTTCAGTACTAATGACTTCTCCATTGCAAATAACTTTTTTAAACAACATAAAAGACAAATAAACACATGGACCTTGCCAGATAGAACACACAGAAATCACGTTGATTACATCTATGGAAAGAGATGGTGGAAAAGCTCTATATCAGCAGCAGACCAGTAACCGCTCATATGCATGCTCAGGATGAAGTTGAAGAAAACTAAAGCAAGTTCTTAAGAGCCAAAATATGTCCTTGAACATATTCCATCTGAATTTAGAGATCATCTGAAGAAAAGATTTGATGTATAAGACACTGAAAACCAGAAGAGTTGTGGGATGACATCAAGAATATCATACATGAAGAAAGCAAAAGGTTATTAAGAAGACAAAAAAAGAATGAAAAGACCAAAATGGATGCCAGAAGAGCCTCTGAAACTTGTTCTCCAGCATAGATATATTATAGCAAATAGAAGAAATGAGGAAGTAAAAGAGCTGAATAGAAAATGTCAAGGGTACCTTGAGAAGACAAAGTTAAATATTACAATGATATGTGCTAAAACCTAGAATTAGAAAACAAAAAAGGAATAACACACTCAGTATTTCTCAAGCTAAGGAAACTGAAGGAAAAATTTAAGCCTCAACTTGCAATATTAAAGGATTCCAGAAGTCCTGGTATGGTGCTGCGTGTTATTGCACTGGGCTGCAAGGTTGGTTCGAGCCACAAGTTTGGCAGTTGAAGCTCACCAGGTGTTCCTTGGAAACCGTATACAGGGTTGCTGAGTCAGACTCAACTGAAAGGCACTTAACAACAGCGACAATGGGAAAAATATTGAATGATCAGCTGAAAGCATCAAAAGAAGATGCAAAGAATACACCAGTCACTGTACGAGAAAGAGATGGTCGCTGTTGAATCATTTCAAGAGGTAGCACATGATCAATGATACTGAAGTGAGAAGCCCAAGGTGCACTGTAGGTACTGGCAAAGAACAAGGCTCCAGGAATTGGTGGAATACAAAGTGAAATCTTTCAACAAACTGATGCAGTGCTGGAGGCACTCATTTATGCCAAGAAATTTGGAAGACAGCTATCTGGCCTACTGATTGGAAAAGAGGCTATCTGTGCCTGTTCCAAAGAGAGATGTGGAAATCATTGAAGAATATCACATGCAAGTAAAATTTTGTTAATGATAATTAAAAACTGGTTGCAACAATACATTGACAGAGAACTGCCAGAGGCTTGAGTCTGATTTAGAAGATGTGGAATGAGGGGTATCATTGCTGATGTCAGGTGGATCTTGAAACAGTCAATACCAGAAAGATGTTTATCTGTGCTTTATTGGCTATCCAAAGGCTTTCAATTATGTCGATCATGACAAGCTACGTACAACATTGCGGAAAATACGTATTCCAGAACATTAACTGTTGTTAATGAGAAACCTATACAAAGTGCAAGAGGCAGCTGCTTGAACAGAACAAGGGAACACAGAATGGTTTAAAATTAGGAAATTACTCAATTTGTGTGTTGAGCACATAATCTGAGAAACTAGATTATTTGAAGAATGAGGGATCAGGATTGGAGGTAGACTTATTAACAACCTGCAATATTCAGATGACACAACCTTGCTTGCTGAAAGCGAAGAGAACTTTGATGAAGATCAAAGACCACAGCCTTCATTATAGTTTGCACCTCAGTGTAAAGAAAACAAAAATCTTCACCACTGGGCCAATAAATTGCATCAAGATATGAAGAGAAGATTGAAGTTGTCCAAGACTTCATTTTGCTCGCATCAACCATCAACACTCATGGAAGCAAGCAGCAGTCAAGAAATGAAATGACCAATTGCATTGGGAAAATCTGCTGTACAAGGAGGCCTCTTTAAATTGTTTATGAGAAGAGACATCAGTTTGAGGACTAAGGTGTGCTTGACCCAACCCATGGTATTTTCAATGACCTCATATACATTTGATAGTTGGACACTGGATAAGGAAGACAGTAGAAGAATTATTGCATTTAAGTTATGGTGTTGGAGGAGAATATTAAAAGTACCATAGACTGCCAAAAGAGTATATATGCGTTGGAAGAAGTACAGTCAGAATGTGCCTTGGAAGCCAAGATGGCTAGACTTTTGTCTCTAATACTTCAGATGTATTATCAGAAGGGACCAGTCCCTAGAGACGAACATAATTGGTAAAGTGGAGAGTTCTGTAAAAAAAAAAACAAAACAGGAAGAGGCCCAAGGAGATGGACTGGCACAATAGGTTCAAGCATAGCAAGGATGTGAGGTTGGCCCAGGACTGGGCAGTGCATGTGGTTGCTATGAGTAGGTACTGACTCGACGGCCCCTAACAACAACAACAAACTGTGAGAGGATAAATTTCTGGTTCTTAAAGTCATCTACTTGTAATATTTCTGTTACAGCAACATTAGATAACAACTGGTCTCCCTGAGTACAGTCTCAAGTTTCTGAAGAGCACAGCATAGAGCAAAAGTTAGATTCTTGTGTAATTCTAGAAGAAAAAGTGAGGAGTAAATGAATTACACATGTCCATGTGTATTCAGAACCTATTAATTATATTTAGGACTCTATTTCAAGTTCAGTATTTAAATATCATTCTAGAGACTATCATTGACTATAACTCTGAAAGGATAAAACAAAAGTTCTGCATAAAATAGTTTTTGGTCTGTTGCTGGGCTCAGTTTATGTAGGCAAAGATTCACAAAGGAAAAAAAGCAGACAAAACAAAAAAGTCCCAAAACAACTACAAAGAGAAAAAAAGTCCTGGGAGCCTTTATGTTGTAGTTAAGTTCTGTTGAATCAGTTCTGATTCATAGAAACCCTGTATAGGGTGGGTTTCCAAAGAGCAACTAGATGGTTTAAACCACTAAGCTTTTGGTTAGCAGTCCAGTGCTTATCCTACAGCAGCACACCCGACTCTCCTCTTAAAAGGCCAAAGTGCTCTGGCTAGCTTATTCGTCCAGTGGTTATTGAAACCAACAGCCACTACACAGAAAGATATGGCAGTGTGATTACAGCCTTGGAAACCCTCTAGGACAGTTCTACTCTGCCTGAAAAGGTCACTATGGGTCAGAGGTGACTCAGTGGCCATGGGTTTTTGGTTCTATCAGAAAAACTGTGTAATACAAATCTAATTTAGAGATTGCATCTAGCCTGAGAGGACTGTGAGCCTGGCATTCATACCCTTAAGTAGAAGATTATTAGAATGAATGAACTGTTGGGTTCTCTGTACTATAGTGTTTCATTCCCAAAACAGCTTCTTTTCTTGCAACCGAAAGTGCCATGTGGTGGTGGAACCTAGAAGTTATGCCTCAGCTTGTTGAAAGAGCTCTTAATGAGAATAAGAATGCCTTGAATATACATGCTGTGCTTCCTGACCCATATTCCTCATTGTTGTTGTTAAGTGCCGCTGAGTCGGTTCCGACTCAAAGCGACCCTATATAGGGTCTTCCAAGTAGCAGCTGGTGGGTTTAAACTGCCAACCCTGCAGTTCAAACCAACTGTAGTACTGCATGCACCAGGGCTCCTTCACAGATTTAAGTTAAGTTGGAGCTGTAATAGACCTAAGTGTTCTATGAGTTGGCTGTCAATGTGAGCCCGAGGGTTAACTGTGCAGCTGGATTCAATACTCAAGTGGTGGAGGTGGTGACTGTGTGCCGTCAAGTTGGTTCTAACTCACAGCGACCCTGTATAGGGTCTCTGAGGCTGTAAAGTAAATCTCTGCTGGAGCAGAAAGCTTTATTTTTTTCCTGTGGAGAAGCTGGTTCATCTGAACTGCTGACTTCATGGTTAGTAGTCCAATGTGTTAACCCATTATGCCGCTAGTAAATACTCAAATAGATGATACTTTTAAAAGCTGGCAAATGACTCTATTTACAAAGAATTTAATCCTATACATTGAAAATCCCAAAGCTTCAATAAGAAAATTACTGGAACTCATTGACAGATTCAGCAAAATAGTAGGGTATAGCATCAATATACAAAAATCAGTTGGATTCCTCTATACTAATAAAGACAGCTCTGAAAAGGAAATTAGGAAAACAATACCATTTACAATAGCCACCAAAACAATAAAATAATAATCTAACCAGGGAAACAAAAGATCTATACAAAGAAAACTACTAAACACTACAAGAAACCAAAAGAGATTTACAAAAATGGAAGTATATACCATGCTCATGGATAGGAAGACTTCGTATTGACACTGAAAATGTCATTACTACACAATGTTATCTATAGATATAACATAAAGTAGACAGCGCCTGGTTACCACTACCAACTGCCTGGAGAAAGATTAGAGGGTCTGGGATAAGGTGGGAGAAAATGTGAAACAAAACTCAAAACTGATTAAAAAACGTGTTTACTGATCAGAAAGAGACTGGTGAAACCTGAGACTATGGCCCTTGAACACCTTTCAGGTCTGGAAAGGAATTCATCCTTGTGGCCCAATTTTCAGTCAAACAGTGGTGGTGGTGGTTATGTGCTGTGAAGTCGATTTCAAATCACAGTGACCCTGAATAGGGTTTCTAAGGCTGTAAATCTTTACAGGTGCAGAAAGCCTCATCTTTCTCTCACAGAGCAGCTGGTAGTTTCGAACTGTTGACCTTGAGGTTAGCAGCCTGACTCATAACCACTATACAATGAGAGTTCCTCTCAGTCAAGCAGCAGACAGGTTTATACTGGGGTGGGGTGGGGGTGGAAATAAACACTAGCAAGATATACTTCCCATGGAATGGTCAATCATTCACAATCAAAAGGGCAACAGATTTCTAAGAACAGAGTTTAGAAGGGGCAGGAAGGTAGATTACAAATGGGAGCCATATTTTTGGATTGTAGTTGTTGTTAAGTGCTGTGGAGTCCGTTGTAACTCACAGCAACCCTGTACAGGGTTCTGAGGCTGTACATCTTTACAGGAGCAGAGAGCCTCATCTTTCTCCCATGGAACAGCTGGTAGTTTCGAACTGCGGACCTTGCTGTTCACAGCCCGATTCATAACCACTACGTTACCAGAAGCTCCTTAAATTGTTGCATGGAGAGGGCTAAATATGGAGATGAAACAAAGTTTATGATTTGTTGAATGTAAAGTTGATGAGCTTGTGTGCAAACCTTCACTCAATTCACAAGTAAAAAAGAAAAAGAAAAAAGGCTAGAGATTAATGAATTGGAAGCTATCTCTGAAGAAATTATACAGAATATAGTAAAGGTTGAGACAAAGAAACAGGAATGTAAAACAGATTGAGGCTATAATGAGCAAACTTTATAACATGCAGATCTAAATTAGTGTCAGTAGTCTAATGTATATTCCAAATTTCAGAAGAGAGAACAGACTAAAGCAAAATCAAAGATAATGAATGAAAACATTTCAGAACTAATGAAAAACATTTTTTTTCCTTTTCAAAGTATTACGTGAAGTAACTAACTATATATTTATATCTTTACTTAAATCCTAACTCTACTAACCAAACTATGATGTCTATGCCTATTTTGTGCACCACAATATGCCTATATTCTAGCGCACACTATACACTCAATACCTATGTGTCCAAATAACATATTAGCAGCTTACTACTCAAAAAGCCAGGTAGCTTCCTATCACTGAAGCTATAGGGAAAAACTTAAGTGGCTCTGTTGTACAAGCCATTCCTAAAACGGTTAAGTCTACGCTGAATAGTAAGTACACTTAACTTTGCTTGAAACTTTTACATTATTCCACTGAGCAAGTCCAATGGGTTCTTTAGTGGCATTCTCTCTGTCTTTTTCCAATTTCATTCCTCCTCTTTAGTTTAACTCTCAAATAGACTATTATAAGTACTTCCTAAGGAGCTCTGGTAGCATAGTGGTTATGAATCGGGCTACAAACCTCAAGGTCAGCAGTTTGAAGCTACCAGCTGTTTTGCGGGAGAAAGATGAGGCTTTCTGCTCCCGTAAAGATTTATAGCCTCAGAAACCCTATACAGGGTCGCTATGAGTCAGAACCGACTCCACGGCACACAACCATCAACACCAATCAGCAATGGACTTCCTAATAGCAATGGATGGCAAACAAAAAAAGCTGGCAGTTCAAACCTACTAGTCGTTCTCTGAAAATCCTACAGAGTATCTATGAGTCAGAACTGATTCGATGGCACTAAACAACAAATTTATTTCTCAGTCTTTCTCTAATCCATTCTATGGAATACTGCAAGATTAATGTTTCTCAAACACTGCTTTCTAATGTTTCCTGGTTGAGAATTATTTGATGGTTTACTCATAGAATAAATGTATTCTTAACTTCAACTTTTCAAATTTTAATCTTTATTTATTGTTCTACATGAACATATGAGGGGGCTTCAAGTTTGTGGACAAACTTCATTATCTTTCAATTCCATTTCAAACTAACTTACGTGTTACTAGAATCAATATTGCTATTTCTTGCTCTGATTTCATGTCTCATGCTGTTCCCTCCACTTAAGATGACCTCTTCCTTGTGTCTTAGACCTGATTTTGCCATTAACTCATCTAGAGAAAGTCAGTATCTCCAGATCTTGGTTCCCAATTGTGAAAGAATGTTGGGGTGAATGACTTCTAAAGCTCTTTTCTGCAACATTTCATTTCTTTAAGTTTTCTAGTTAGGATGAATAATGTAAAAGAGACTAAGATATATGTGTGGGATTACAAATATTTTGTTAGTTTGTAAATTTAACTATAAAGTATATGAGGGCAGGGACATGTTTTATATTTCTGTTCTGTTTATAGCACTTAACACACTGCTTTATAGACAGGTGACCAATATTTAAAATTCCACTTCAATAAAAAGAAAACAATTAAAACTTGCATACTTACTCTCCCATAGGCCATGGTGGGCAGCAACATAAAGGAGGGAAATGTTTCTGTTGGTCTTTGGCTTCAAGGATTAATACCAGATTTGGATACCGGGTAGTTAGGTAATTGGTAAGGAATCCCATAAAGTTGTAAATGACATAAGCTTCATAGCATTCTCTGCAAGTATCCACATATATTGCAATGCTGGGATATTTCAATGCTATCCACTATGAAGAAGCACAGATGTTAAAAAGAGTTGCTACTAAAATCAAATATGCATCCCAAGTCTTCGTATTCAAAATAAGTTAATTTTTAAATTTGAAATGTCTTATCACATACTTTTATACCAGACTTTCTGAAATTTATAATTATGAGGGCTACCAGACAATCTCTGAAATGAACTTTTAAGAGCAAGAAACATTTCATATATTGGTAAACAAGAGGGCAAGTATTTGAGATAAAAAAGGAATATCAAAGAGAGAAGCTAAGTACTTGAGTTCTTAAATCTGAAATTTATCTTGACACAGTCACAGAAAATGATGACAAAGATCATTCAGTCCTTTGTATTTACTCATATGAGAGTACATGTCTGCAACCACTGTATGAGAGAATCCAATGGGGAATGTTCTTGTTCAAAGACTTAATAAACAAAAAAGTGAATGAAAGTTAAAATACTACATTTTGAAGGGACTAAGACATACTGACAAATTAGCGTTGTATTAATTGGACTCTTCATTATTGGTAACATACTTTCCCTTAAGCATTCTATAAGTATACTATCATCAAACAAGTTCTTAATGAGATAATCAAATGAAACATACTTACACTATCTAAACTGTATATGGGTACCATCCAAAGAATCCTATGTTGAAAGGAAAACAGAAAAACAATTTACATATTTATGAAAACTACTATAAAAATACAGTATTAGTAGAATCAAACTCTACCAAGATTTACCTTATTATTGGTTTTTGTAGTTCAGGTTGTGTATAATGCACTAAGTGTTGCAGTATCACCCAGAGAGATATAGGTATAGTCAACAGCAAAAAAATTCCAGCAATAAACCAAGCCTTAGTGTGTATTCCAACCTTTAGAAGCAAAATAATATGTTAGTTTAAATTGTTATTAAAAAAAAAAGAAATAAATATTTCTTAAAATTTCATTTCTTTTATTACTAAAGAGGTTCAATATTTTCCCATATGACTAGTGGTTATTTTATTTCTTCTTCACTGGACAATCTATCTATGCTATTTTGGAGGGAGGGATTTTCGACACGGGAGTTGAACATTTTTCCTAATGGAGCCTTTTATGAAAACTCTTTATATATTAATACTATGTTATGGCTCCTTCCTGTTTGTGATTTGCCTTTTATAATTTTGATTATAATTCTTAGAGGTGTACAGACATTTAAAATTTTTCTCAAGTCTACAAATATTTTTTCTGGTTTATTACTTGTCTTTTAAGGAGCTCTGGTAGCGTAGTGGTTATAAATCAGGCTGCGAACCGCAAGGTCAGCACTTCGAAATTAGCAGCTGCTCCGTGGGAAAAAGATGAGGCTTTCTGCTCCCGTAAAGATTTACAGCCTCAGAAACCCTGTTCTGGGTCGCTATGGGTCAGAACCGACTCCCCGGCACTTAACAATAACAACAAAACCTTGTACAGGGTCGCTATGAGTCAGAATCAACTACATGGCACATCACTACCACCACTTGTTTTTCATGCTTGTTTTATGCTTGGACAGTTAAATTCTACCTACATTTTCTTCAAATTTTACTGTTAAGTATTGAAGAGAAAAAACCCAAGGTGAAAACTATAATGTCCTTTTTTAGTTCAGAGGGATTCAATAGCCAGGATCAGTTAGTAAATATGCTGATTTGTCAGGCAATATCGCATCCTTATAATCTGTGGTAACTAGGAAACTCTACCCTTGGCCCTTGCAGGACGAAAACAACCACAGACAATACATAAATGAATTAGCACGACTGTATCCAATACAATTTTACTTACAAAACCTACAAGCCACAATTTGCACACAACTACAGTGTACTGAAGGGGTCAGCAATCAAGTCGATTCTGACTCATACCCATAGGTAATTTCACTCTGCACTGTAACTTTACAGGAGGAACAGACTGTCATGTCTATTCTCCCATGGGTTCTAACGGCCAACTTTGAGTTTAGCAAGCCAAGGACTTAACTGTTCTGCCACCAGAGCTTCTTTCCAATACATAAACCAAACCCACTGAGTAGATTGCAACTCACAGTAATCCTGTAGGTCAGAGCAGAACTGCCCCACAGGGTTTCCTGGTGTGACACTGTGGGTTAATGCGCTGGACTGCAAAGTCACTTGAACCATAAGATAGGTGATTCAAGCTCACCAGCTGCTCCTCAGAAACCCTACACAGGGTCGCTATGGGTCCAAACCAACTCGATGGCACTTAACAACAACAACAATCTTTACAGAGGCAAACTGCCACATCTTTTTCCAGGAGAAGGACTGGTGGTTTCGATCTGTCAGTCTTACAGTTAGCAGTCGACCGCTTTAATCACTGCACTGCCAGGATTCCTTTCCAATACACTTGTGTCGATTCGGGATTCGGTCTGACTCATAGCAACCTTGTAGAGGGTTTCTGAGGAGCAGTTGGTGAGCTTGAACCGCAGACCTTGTGGTCCTGTGCTTATCCTACAGCACCACACTCCAGTACACTAACATTTTCAATAGAGGGCTCTGCAGTGATGCCTCAATGGCAGTGGATTTGGTTTTGGTATCTCTAGACAGGAGCCCACAGTGGGTTGACTGCTGGGCTGCTAGCAGCAAGGTCAGCATTTCAAACCCACCAGTTACTCTGTGGAAAGACGATGAGGTTGTCTGCTCCTGTAAAGATTTGCAATCATGGAAACCCTAGGGAGCAGTTCTATTCTGTAAGTGCTGTTTAGTCAGTTACAACGTAGCAACCCTGTATACGGTTTCTAAGGGGGATAAGTGCTTACGCTTCAGCGCCACATCAGGATTTCTTTTGGGACTAAAGGGTCATCGTGGTGTGGAGCTATAGGATTAAAAACTGGATTGCTAACCACTGCTTAGAAACCCTACACAGGGTCACTACTAGTCAGAACTGACTTGAAGTCACTTAAAAACAACAACATGTGTTGGAATGGTCTCAATGGCAGTGGGTTGTACCTACAGATGTGATCCTATTTAGATACAGGGTTTCTTTTTGTTATGTTAAAGAGAGTAGATCCTAAACCTAATCACATCGCTACCAATGAAATAAATCAACACTGTGGGGACTTTTCTCGTTTAGGATTGTGAGAACATAAATGTGTGTTCTTTAAAGGCTCCCAATTGTGATATTTATGTTATGGTAACACTATGACATGAAGGAGTCCAGATGTAGCACTGTAGCATAAGCACTGGACTGCTAACCATAAGGTCCTAAGGTCAAACTTTTCCAGCTACTTCTTAGAAACCTGATACCAGGTGGCTATGAGGTGGAACTCACTCAACAGCACTTAACAAGAAGACACTGCAAATGCTTACTTTTTTTTTTTTAATTAAATGTTTATATTTTGCATTGAGTGAAAGTTTACAGGGTACATCATCAGCTTCACATTCAACCATTCATATAGCTTGTTTCATTACACTGATTATTATCCCCACCATATATCATCAGTTTACAGTGTTTCTCTCTATCCTCTTTAGCTTTTTTTTTTTTTTGGATGGGGGGGGGAATGCTTACTTTTTAAAGGGAAAAAGGGGGCATTTAATTTTGGTGCTTGGCAAGGTTTACCAATTAAAAATTAAAATAGAACTGAAGTCCAAAAATAGTAATTTCACTGTTTACAACAAGAGCCCACCTTCCTGTCATCAGAAGTCAAGGATTAACGAAATATGGACGACAGTATAGAAAGCCCATGTATTTTTAACGCGGTGTAAACTTGAAAACGTGAAAAGTTGAAAAAAACAAAAGTCTTGAACACTAGGGAGCAAAGAAGGGGAATCAAAGCAGTTAACTGAAAAGCAAATAGGTGGAGCTAAAGATTATGAAAAGAATGTCTGAGTCCAGATTTTCTACGGTTTTTTGCTTTGCTCAGTTTCATTTAAAATTAAGAATTCATTTCAATGATTTAAAAATATATATTTCATTATATTCTGGATCTTCTCTATTACCAGGTGATCATCAATAACAGTACTGCATATAACACTGGTTGTACAACTCAAAGAATGTCACCAAACTGTACATATACGTTTTACTACACATATTTTCAACAAGAAGAGAATATGTATAGTTTTTATGATTGCCTTAGTCCCAAAAGGAATCCTGATGTGGCGCTGAAGCATAAGCACTTATCCCCCTTAGAAACCGTATACAGGGTTGCTACGTTGTAACCGACTAAACAGCACTTAACAGTCCCCAACAGTAGAAATGGCTGGTAGACAGAAACAGAGAAATGATGTGACCAGTATGCTGTAAGGAAGGGTGTTAAAATCATAAAACAAGTGCCTGAAGAACTGAGTCATCACAATATAAATCCACTGCTGTGGAGTCCATTACAACTCATAATGGACAGAGGGGAACTGCCCCACAGAATTTCCAAGACTACACACTTTTATGGAGTCTTGGTGTGGCGCTGGACTGCAAGGTTGATCTGAACCGCAGGGTTTGTGGTTCAACCTCACCAGCCACTCCTTGGAAACCCTATACAGGGTCACTATGAGTCGGAACCAACTCCACGGCACTTAACAACCAATTTTTATAGAAGCAGACGGTCATATCTCTCTCCCAGCAGAGTGGCAAGTGGGTTCAAAAAGCCAACCTTGTTAGCCGCTGAGTGCTTTAGCCACTGTGCCATCAGGGCTCATCTCAGTATACCAAAAACCAATCCCAGTATTACTGAGTTGATTTTGACTGGTAACAACAAGTCTATATAGGGCTTCTGAGACTAAATCTTTATGGGAACAGAGAGCTTCATCTTTCTCCAGTGGTGCAGCTTGTGGGTTTGAACAGTCGACTCTGCAGTTAGTAGCTTAATGTCTAACCCACAGTAGAGTCAGGCCAAAAAAAAAAAAAAAACACACCAAAAACCCCCACATTATGCATTATAGGACTTAGTAACGTTTTTCTATTGCAAGTGGTAATATAGTTTCAGAAAAAAAAAAATCTACCAATATTGCTAACTTAAATTATCAGTTTGTTGTTAAATACTGTGGCGTCGGTTCTGACACATAGTGACCCTGCACAGGGTTTCTGAGGCTATAAATCTTCACGGGAGCAGAAAGTCTCATCTTTCTCCCGAAAATGGCTGGTAGTTTTGAACTAACGACCCTGAGGTTCGAACTGCCGAACTTGAGGTTAGCAGCCTGATTTGTATCCACTACGCTATAAAAGCTCCTTATAGTTGTTTATCATTTATAGATTTGCTGGCATTTATAGATTTGGTGAGTAATCACTGGACTACTCACAAAACCAAGCGTTCAAACTCACGAGGCACGCTTGGGGAGAAAGAAGAGGCTTTCTGCTCCCGTAAAGATTTACAGCCTTGGAAACCCTCTACAAGGTCACTACGATCCTGAATACTCTCAATGGCACTGGTTTTGGTTTTGGGAGTACATATTTATCACTGAATAAAGGGAGATCTGGTAGCATAGTGGTTACGAGTCAGACTATTCGAAACTACCAGAGGCTTCCTACTCCCGTAAAGATTTACAGGCTCGGAAACCCTACACAATGCGAACTGAATCCAGGGCACATCACCACCAAAATAAATAAACACTAGGAGTTCGCAGTAATTAATATAATGATATTTTAATATAATTTACATTTATCTCAAAATCAATTAATCAAATTTGAGACTCACTGATATCAGGAAATCATTATTTTTATATGTTATCAGCCAATTTGAGGAGAGAAGAGAGGAAAAAAACAAAAACACATTAAAGAAAGGCAGAAAAAAAACAAAACACATTAACGAGTACTAGGAGTGAATTGATTCTCCTTCAGTAAAAGCTTTTAAAGCAAAGTGGAGGGCAGGAATAGGAGAAGTACTTTCTGGGAATACTTCTGCTGAGGGGAAGGGAGGTAAACTGAC